CTTGCAGCAGCTCACTGATTAAATTATGCATTCTTTTTCAGTGCTGTACATTTGAACACTAACACCCAGTACTGTCTCTAACAGGGAGTCCAGTGATTCTGATTAGCAGCTCAGAGTATCCCCTGATCTAATGGGCACAATGTAACATCAGACATACAGTGATCTGAACTAACTGTTAGCATATAATGCAGAAATTCAAACAGAATGCCCTGGCACTGGCTGTATTTTGAGTTTCCTTCATAAGAACTCACATTTTACATGGAGGCTCTGAAAGTCAGACTTTATTCAGACATGAAGAGATAAGATTGATCAGCATGAAGTATTTGCAGCTGGCATTTTATTTTCTACTTTGTACCGACGTTTAAAAGAGCAAAACGTTTTAAAATCCTAATTCTTAAATAATTGCCTCTGGGCTTCCATTTGTTTGACTTTATCTTCTTGATAGACTTATCCTCCTAATAAAGAAACCCCTGAACAAAGGATTTAGCTATGATCACTATGTCAGCTTCATAATGCTGCCGTATATAAGGAACTGCTGTTGCCTCAAAAAATAGTTTTTTTCCCTCATATTTATATCTTTCTTTGTAAAGTAATCAGAATTGAACATCATTAAAAATCAAAACCCATTCATCCCAACAGTTATTTTGACAGTAATACACTATTTTAATACTATTCGCCATTATTTAAAAAATACTTTCAGTTCAGCGGATTCCAAAAACCTAGGGACATACATTGTTTGGCACATGAGGAATAAGTTAGAACTCTTTTTTTTTCTGTGTAGGACTCTCATGTTTGTTGACTAATCTCAGCATAACATCTACCTCTGGGCTGTAGCCAAATGGACTCCCCAAGGCTCCCTGAAGACATTTCATTTGACTGTAAAACAAGCGTGAAGGTCCAAGAATAGTTGACATGTCTTTGACATCTTTTACAAGGTTATTCAGAGTGTAAGTGACTTTTCACATGACCCTACACATCACATGACCCCACTGGCTCAATTTCACTGCTGGACTCCTCATTTTTAAACCCTCCTCCCTGCAGCATGAAGTCCACTCAGCAGTAACAAAATGCTAGAAAGGGAACAGCCGCAGGCCTTTCCTTCAAATGCATTCCTGTGTTAGCCTAACATGATTACTGGAAACATTTTTTGTCTACATGGGATCCTAAACATAAATCCAATCACTTTACAAAAGTTAAGTTGCATTCTGAGCGTCAGTCATCAGTTGTCATACAAGTATGTGGAACAACTAACTCTCAAAAAGTGATGAAAAGTAAGATCAACCTGGAGTCCGAATGAACACATTTCGATAGATTTTAATTAATCAAGCTGGGGGAAAAAAGAAAAATAATCCCATCATCTGGTTTTGATCCTCCACTCATTCTCTGTCAGACCTTCAGGTGTTTTTACTTTATGTTACCCAAAATGTACATGTTTAGACAATGCTGCATTGATGAGTGCACAGAAACCTAGCTGGCATTTTTCAGGGTGACACTGCAGGTGACCTCTGACCTGGATGAGTGGACTCTGCTGAGCTCAGCTCCACGATGATCGACTGTTATTCTTCTGCCGTCAGACGCTGCTTTTCACTGATCGCCCCTTCAATCCGAGGTGAAGAGGAAGGAGATGAGAGGATGACAGCGCTGCTGAAAACAGTGTGTTTGTGTGTGTGTGTGTGTCTCTGTGTGCCCGAGCATGGAAACAGTACATCAATACATTTCTTTATTGAGGTGCCAACTCTAATTTGCATGTTTTTTTTTTCAGTATGTGAAAATGAGACGGGAAGAGATATGCAAACAACTGAGTGATGATAGGAGAACAATGGTTGGTTTAAAGGATTTTTTTTTTCATTATGGTGTTTTGCTTATGCTGTGAAACAGTTTTGCAGACAAACCAGGGACTATTTAATATGCAAAAGAAAAAGACGGAATTTTTTGTTAACTGATTGATTAATTTTGTTGTCTTTTCTAAAACTAATTAGCACATTTGAAGACGCAAATCAGACACTGCTCTAAAAATGTGACACAAGACCTAGATTTATGAGGTAAGAAGTCAGCTATTCGGACTATTATTGAACTATTCTTGGTTTCTCATTAAAAAAGAAAACAATCACACATTCTATTTCTTAAAGTCTCCCAAGATAAAACCTCAAAGGGACTAGTTAAGAAATATACATATTGGCCAGACAAGAAAAATTAAATCAGTTTTAAAAAGCTTAGTGGCTTAGTCTTGAGGAGCTGTGCTAAGCCTTTTTCAACATTCATACACAATGTGTGTTCTACCAACAAAGTCAGTGATGTGAGAATGGTGTAAATGTCCTTCTCATTGGCATTTTACTACATGAATGAGCTACGTTCTTACTGCCTGCTAAGAGGAGCAGAAGGTACAAGAGTCTTGGTTAATATCAAGCTAAGTTAGAATCATTTCTCACATTTAGGCTGTTGAGTATCGCTTCTAATGTGATTTCAATTAAAAGTTATTCTTTGTCATATTCTAAAATTAACTTAAATATAATTTTGTTTGGATATTCCTAATATTGGTGTTTATTGTGAATAACTGTACATTTGGTTTTTGATTTTTTTTTCAGTAATTGATTAGTTGATGATCTTTAAAAATGTTTTAACTGACTTTGATATTTAAGTTCACATGGAAATAAGTAAGTATAACCGTTATGAAACAGATTTGTTTCCACAAAGAGTCCAATATTTCACTGCTTTGTTACTGAATACAACAGCAAAAAATCCTAAAATGATAACTCACTACTATCGAAAAGAGGTTTAGCCATATAATGTCACATAGGTGGAATACGCAGGCTCACATCATGTCCAGAATTTACAAAGCCATTTGTCAAGAACAAAACACCTTGACAGACTTATGAAGCTGAGGGGAGGACTGGAGATAAGCCCCACCGGAAATGGAAAAGTCGCCTGAAAGAGGGTGCCGAGGTATTAATTAAACAATGCCCATTTTAATCATAGCTAATTATATTTGCTTGCAAGGGTTGAGAGGAGTAAGGGGGCTGGGGGTGATTCTATCTGAGTCTGAGCTCATTAATATGGTTGGGTTGCCGTCCCACCAAAAAAATAAATAGAAATCAACAATAAACGTCACTGCTTTCGCTGTTAAGAGGAGTGGTTTAACAGGGTTGTGCAGTAAAGATCAACACCTGAAGGAGGAATGTGAGACAGAACATCTGAAGAAGGCTGTGAAACGATAAAGACCATCATAATGAGAGGATTTTAATAGTATAACCATTGGTAAAATAGTTAATTACTGTTGGATCCCTATATTAGTCATATGAGTGCTAATTAGTCTTTTTAAGCTCCGTGCCTCAAACCCCTTTCCCCTGCATGTCTGCTCTGCTTTGTCAAAACCGAGCCGCCTCGCCTTCCCTGCAGTTTCTTTCTAAACCCCATTATCTGTGTTCATCAGTTACTATTTCCTATCTATAAACATTTGGGAGCTCAGACGGTGACCCCAGACTCCTGGTTGACCTGGGGGTCACCAACAAAAAGGATAGGGTTATTGAAGAGAAAACCATCATGGCTGTGTCTTATCTCTATGAAGGGGAGACTGAGTCCTTTGGGAAATTGTAGTCAATAAGTGTTGGGCTGCATACGCAGGTCAAATGTGTTTTTTGTCATAGAAAGGTGTGTTTTCTGCTCCGTTTCCCAGTCATAACTGCCACAATCACCTCTGAATTTGGTTTACTTATCCATACAGACCACCTCACCCCAGCCTGGACTGCTGGATTATAACTGAAACAGAATACAAATTTTGTAATGCATGTCGGGACAAGGGTTTGTACTTCTTATCAATGTTTTACTATGAAACTACATGCACTTCTTGAGGCTGTTACACAGAAATTAGGACCACTGATCACCAGTTCGACAAACAGGCCAAATCACATGCATTTCTAATAGATTATACAGCTGCACTGATAAAAATGTTTGTAAGGTAAAATACAAATTCCATGACTGTAACGATAGACATGCGAAAGCTTGTCTGTAAAAGAATGGAGAACCGAAAAAAATGAAAGAGCAAGAAATAGAAACAGAAAAGACACAAGGAGTAAGAAGCTACTGATTTTTTTTCCAGTCTGGTTTTCTATAAGAGGAACGAGGAGAGATAAGACTAAAAGGACTGTCACTCAGAGGAACAATCCTTCCAGTGTCCCCTCTTGCTCCTGCTGCTCCTCCCTCCTCCCTCTCTCCAATTTCCACAGATTCTGTGCTCAGATAGAGTCGCTGTTCACAGGGACAGTTTGCTGACATCATCTGCCACATACAGAGTGTCCTGCACACTCACTGCCCCTCCCCACAACACCTGATGGACGCATGTACATAATAATCCCCACAGAAAACTGAACACGTTTCCACCCACAAATACAGTGGGTTCTTTTTAAGATTTTTTCTCCATTTCTTTTTCAGAATACCCTAAAATTATCAGTCAAAATCCAAACATGCAATAACATGAAAATGCAGTTTTTGTCCTCCGTCACTTCAATTACTGCCATGAGCCTGGTCAGTTTTAATCAGGAGAGCACGTTTCTGGATTTTTACAAATTTCTGACATGCCAATGTGTGCATATGTCTACAAATATCACAAAAATGTGTTCTTGTGGCAATAACAGTAAAGGTAATTTCAGTAGCTGTGTGCTGCCATTACCCAGATGCAGTAGTACAGTACTTATAGTTATTTTTCCTACATGCTTATGCTTGATTTACCTGCTGGATGAAGTAATAATCCTGCTTTGAGTTAAACAAAATATATCATTGAGAAAAGACACAGAGATCTCACCAAATGAATAAGTGTTTTGACATGGCCATGGTTACAATGTATTATTGTTAGTCAACCGTTAGAAAATGGTACTCCAGCTTCCTCCCTCTGTCCCTCCCTCCCTCTGTCTCACATTCACTCCTAACATGAGTGAATGTGAGTGCATGGATTTTTGTCTTTGTGTGACCGTGTGATGGCCTGGCGACCTGTCCAGGGTGTACCCCACCTCCTGCCCAGGGTCAGCAGGGATATCCAGCCCCTCTTTCTGCTAGATAAAGCGGTATAAATAATGGATAGGCGTTAGAAAATGCAAGGGGATGCGCAAAATTGGAAAGTGGGTCAAATTTAGCTACAAGGAGGCATTCTGGATAGGAGTTCAATAAGTCATTAACACATTTTGACTTCATTATTTACTCAAGGTTTAATTCCTGTTCATTGCTTACTATTCTGTTTTGTTATATGCTTATTGTGACACCTTTTCTAACATTGTACTGATTTATCAGTTTATCTGTAAATGGAGTTTGAAAACATTGTTTATTTCATGCATCACGAACAATAATAGTTGGCACATCCAGATTTAGGGCAAATATTGCAGTTTGTTTTATTTATCTTTCTCAGACGATCAGCATTTGATTCAGACCCAGCAAATACACCTCAGTGTCAAATCAATAATCACCTGAAACTGAGATGAACTCTGTAGAAATGACAACCAACTGGCTTCCAGAGTAATGAGTCTGGAGACGAAAAGTTGGAGCCAAAGAAGTGTTATCTGCAACACACTAAGCTCTCAGATTTATGCTAATGTCTTTCTGTTGATCAGGAATTCAAAACATGATGAAAGACAGGTTTGTTGCTCGTCAGAGAAATTCATTCAGATTTCATCAGCGGAACAAAAATCCTGAGTTAAAAAACATAAGAGCAGCTAATGGGATTACACCCTGCTCCTTAAAACAGGAGTTCCGTCTGCCACAATCATTGCATTTAAGCAGACTCGCTCCAGAAAAAAAGGCAATAAAAGCTAACATCCTTCATATCCAAGGCTGTTGGTGACCCCACCTGGATGAGACCTCTGATGCTGTTCTCTGTCTGTGGCTGGTGCTCCAGGATGAAATAAAACAGAAAAGTGTGCAAGAGGTCAAGTCTGAACCATCTTTTTATGAGGATCGAAAACATATCTCTTGAAATGCAGGTGTATGCTAACGGGTTGGGAGTCTGCTTTGGGCTCCTCTTCATTTGCTGTTGCCCCTTTGTTCCCACTCTTCCCTTTCTTCTTTGCGGAGGAAGACAAACACTGCTTGGTTTCTGGGCGAAGACCCTCTGAAGAAAAGATCAACAAGTAGGTGAAGAATGGAAGCCGATTACCTGCTATTAAAGAAAAGCAATCACCCATGCAGATGTCCGCATGAGACGTTTATCACAGCATGGACTGTCCTGTGCAGTTCTAATCAGTGTGAGTGTATCTGATGCATGATATGGATCTTTTCTTCCCTGTTACAGTATGTGTGTAAAAGGTGATTTATCAGTGCTGGAGCCTGTTCAGTGTGTGCTGACCTCAAGATTCAACTGATGCTTTTATCCTCCATGTGGAACTGAAAGGCAGATCTTAGTTGTTCTTGGAGGCTCTGCCTTGTGGGCTTCCTGTTCACACTCATGATCATCGCTTTTCTCTCTGTTAGGCATCCCTCTCAGTCATGCACTATAAGTTCTTCCACTGCATATCTGCCCTCTTGTCTCTCTCGGTGTGTTTTGAGGACATAACTGGCTACTGATTTGCTTCCCCATTTTGCACACGGAAGGTAAGAAATGTTCTGGGTTCATTGCTTTTTATGCTGGCTGTCTGACCTCGTATACAGTGGCGCCAGCATTCTTCTTGTTATCGTTATGCCAGGGTGAGGGTTGTTATGGTTGCAGTGCAGTCAAAAAAATCTCAACTTCTTATCTACAATCAGCTGAAATTGTCCGTCTTCCACCACAACACATGCTCACAAGCAAACAACAAATCACTTTGGGTGGAACGTGAGGGTTACCATTTCAGATGTTTGTCCCCAAATGAGTTTCTCTGCATGTTTCTGTGGATAACTAAATCAAAATGGAGAAAAGGGACACTGGTAGACTTTTAAGCATCCATGAAGCTGCATGTGATGCAAACGTGATCATCAGAAGAGTTAACAAAGTGTACTTGATAAATTTGTTTTGCATGTGCACACACATACACAATTCATGTCCTACTTTTCTACTAAAAAAATAAGGCCATGTGCACATCCACTTCTTTTCAAAAGGGCTGATTACGTATTTAACACGTAACTTCTAAGAAGTTTCAACGTTTGAACACGAACACCCACCGGGGAATATGGCAACAAATTTGCTTTGGTGTACAAATCACAATTTTTCTCTGCTTAGAGCAAATCATGTGATAATCCGCCCCAAAATTCTATGAGGACTGTAACACATTAATGTGAGTAAATCAATTCTGCATTATTGCAGCAGACGAGGTCAGTGATTGATACGTTTCACAGCACTTTAGGGTTTGTGTATCATGAGAGGGACTACATGAGCTTACAGTGGATGTGTGGGGAAGCATATCAAAGCTGGGAGTTTCTTTAGAGGGGAACAAATAAACAGCAGCAGTTTGACTGGATCGATACACATCAAGCAGAGAACTGTTTTGATGCAAACATTGAATTAAACTGAGAAGGTGGACATCTTTAGATGTTTATCTTCACGCTATTTCACAAGCAAAATGAATCAAATTGACGAGACACGTGTCACTTTACCAGAAGGTTAATCCAAAGATAGCAGTTCTTTAAATAATGTGTGCTGGGGGAAGCAGCTGTGAGTAACAGGAGGCGCTTGTCAGTTGAAACTTGAGCATTTTCATTCATACGCTTCATCTTTAGGATTTTTTTCTTATGAAAAATTCAAGAGAAAGTAATGCAGCTGGGAGGAAGCACACCAGTGCCCCAACTCACCTTAAGCCTCTCATGACACTAAGACATAGCTGAATGTCCACATTATGTTCAGGTCTGAATATCTGAGACTTTTGAGTCTGCAGGAACAAGCCAGTGAAGGGGATGTAGGTGAGGTTCTCTTTCGAAAATGTTTTTGTTTTCTCTCCCCCACAGGCCCAGTGTGGAGTCCTGGGTTTTAAGCAACAGAAGGTAAAATAAACACCGATCAGACTTCCCCCGGAACTCAGGCAATCCCCAGAGGAATCCTGGGAATGTGGCTCGGGATGTCAGGCCTGCCGCTCTTACCACATCCTGAAAACTGTCTGCCGAGCCCCGAAACTCAAGTGAAATCAGACAAAGGGCCTTCCATGGGTGTGCTGATGTCGAGGGAGACTTTGGTCAACATTTGTCAAAGCCTCAATCTATGTGTGTCCTGCAGCCCTTTTTTTGTTTTCCTGGTGTTTTCTCATACTGAGGAGATAGTAAATCCTTACCTTGTATACGAATCTTGAATTTCCCGCTCTGTCCAAAGCCTCCCTCTATGACACCGCTCTCGCCGGTCGACAGAGTGACCTTCAACCCCACGAATAGCTGCAGGTTGGTCTCTTTCTTGAACAGACTGCGGCCAATCACGGTGTAGTCATCGGTCACCTGAGCACAACACAGAGAGTGAGCATGATGAGCTGCAGCTCTACAATGAGGCCCAACATGTCATGAACTCTATGAGAAGTGCTAAACTCTGTAAAAGCATCTAAAATGTTTACAGCAGTTAGCGTATATACAGCATGTTCCTCTGGTGTGCTGCTTTTGTGGTTTGAAATTATTTAATTCTGTCATTGTGATGGATGAGGAAGAAGAGCTGATCCCCTCACCAACTGCACCATTTGCCATCGGCCACATTCTTCGAAGCTCCCCGCCTGGCTGTCTCGCACTGTCTCTATCACCGTTCTGCATATTTTATGGTATATTTGTATTTCTTGCTTATCATCCATCACTAAGTCGATCTAACCCGCTACTAATCTGATAACAGGAGGGCACCACTCTGTCTCCAGCTCAACCCCGCCACCAGCTCTTCCTCTGTCTTCTGCCTAGCCCTCATTCATTCCTGAACATTTGACCCTGGTGTCCTGCAAGCGTGACTGATCTATTGATAAAGAGAAGGAAAAAAAAAAAACAGTTGCTGTACACGTCTGACAGACCATATGAATTGTGACTGGACGAGGTCATCATATCTCAACAATGACAGTAATGTGCTCTTTTTATGAAAGGGAATTCTTCAGTCCCGAAACATAACTGCCTCAAATGTCATGTCACATGACCACCATCTGACCTCACGCACTCTAGTCGGCTTCCCAGTGAGAGAAAGGGGGTGTCGACAGCCTGAGGTGCTAAAGCAGGAAACTAGTTCACAAACTTGACCCCTGAACTCAATCTCACCCTGTACAAGGGTTCGCACAGAGAAAGCATGACTGTAACATCCAGAATGACAAGAGTCGTCATCGTCAGCCTCTGCGATGTGCGCACCAATTAAAACGACAAGTTGAACGATGTTGTTTACCAGAAAGTCAGAATGTAACAGCGAATAAAGATACAGAGGACAACACAGAGAAAGTCGGTGAAAAGACAAAAAGATTGAATGCAGAGAAACCCCCAGCAATGTGGATTTTCCTGTGCCACTCAGGTGTGTCTAAACAGCGCCAGCCTCTGACAGCTAGACAGGACTAGTAACTGGCGTCAGTGGCCACCCACACGCACCTCTGTCACAGCGCATGCTAAGGCACGCATGCCACCCATGCCTTCAACACCAGTCACCGGGGCTGCATATGTATGATTGTTTGTGTGTACGTGTCTGTTTATGAATATACAATAGGGGCTCTGTCTGAGCGGCACGCTCCAGTGCCACCAGCAATGAGAAACATCCAAGGAACTAAAGCCAGAAAAAGGAGCACAGGGTGACAGCGAGGGCAGAAAGGCAGCCACGGTGAAAGGTAAGGCCCTGTATCATGGAACTGGTCATTTCATCTGACGGGCGCTCTGCTGGACATCCACTCACCCTCTCCACCTGTCCCTCCTTGTGTTTGGTCTTGTAGATGCGCAGACGGGGCAGAGCGGTCTCGGCGTAGCCTTTATCTTCGAAACCCTGCAGAAGGCGCCCTTGGAAGGCCAGCCGACACGCGTTGGCGTGGATATCCGTGTCCAGCTTGGAGCCGATTACCAGACAGAGAGCAGGACATGTGACAGGACGATCAAACTGCAATAGGGCCCATTGCTCTGGGTCAGGCCCAGGGCTCCCGTCTCCTTGGCCAGTGGCATATTCATCCAGATATAAGTACTCCCTGTCAAAGTTAAAGGGTGTTTGGAGTGAGCAGGGCTCTGACTCAGCTTGTTTAGAGTCAGAGGGGGTCAGGCCAAAGAAGGTCACCCTCCCCATGACCGTCTCATGGCCCACTGTGATGTGAAACTTGGCACGGGTGGCAAGAGAGCCCTTGAAGTAGCCTATCTTCCTCACAGAGATGACCGCTGCAAAGAGGGTGCGCAGGGACTCGGGAGTGCACACCAAACCTCGCTCCAACAGTTTGGGGTCAAACTGTGTCACGCACACACCCACTCGATCCCCCTGCATGGCCCCAGACACTGGCTTCCGAAACATCTGCACCGACTTTATTTTCTTGGTCACCTGATGTCAGAGAGCGCAAAGACACAATAAATAACACACACACTCTCACACAAACAACGTATCAAACATAAATCTGATCAGAGGCTGAATAACAAACAGCAGATAACAGAAAGATATACAGTTCAGAAGCAGGAGAGGACATGTGGGGACATAACTATCTTTAGTTAATAACCAACAACATTATCTTTTTGAGAAGAAAAGAAAAAGGTTTAAATGGTACTCCAAACATATTAAAGGAAATATGCACATATGTCAGCAAACGGGCCATGAAATGTTAACAACTTCAAGTTTAAGGTGCTTTGCTCAGACCTCAAAATATTGTTTTACCCCAAACAAAGATGGGGATGAAGCCAGGTAACAATTGAAATACCAGATTTTCTTTTACATCGGCTTCAAAATGTCCAACTAATGTGCAAACATAAACAATCTGTGCTTAGATTGGTATCTTTTCCACAACTAAATCAAATCTAGATACAGATCCATATTGACATGAAAAGTCAGCTTTTTATGAATCAGGGCATGGCCTAAGACTCTTAACACTTTAATGCAGATCGGTGCGTAACCCTGCCAGCAGACAAACAAACCAAACCCAGCTTTATGTCAGACACCCGATAGTTATGTCATACTTCACATAACCAAATCAGATTTTGTTGTGTATAGATAATATAAAGCACTGACAAATAAAAAATAAATAATTTACACTTAAAATTTTCTTTTTTAATTACAGCTTACAGCAATTGTTATTTTAAAAAGTACAATGTATCTATATGCAACTAGACTACTTGTTTTACAACTTGTTTTTGTTGCCTTTCAGAAATCACCATATCAGTCATACAGATTGGGGTTCCTGTCCTGAACAAGTGAATTTAGCCATTTGCTGCCACCATGAGTCAAATAGGATAACTGCTGACAATGCTGCAGAGCTGGCTCCGAGTTTGCATCTGGTCCAAATTACCCAACTCCTGCCTGTGTCTCAGGGCCACCCCATCAGTTCCTTCATCCTCTCCTCGCACAAAACTAACACATCCTCAACCAGGCTGATAATCCACTCCTCTGCCTGTCCACAGCCAACTCAACTTCTGAACTTCCAAAACTCTGCATAATGTTACTTGCTTTTGAATTCATACCCATGTCTTGGGACGTACCTTCAACATAGGAATTTCCACTGAATCGTTTATGGCCAGTGACCCCTGCAGGATGGTCCCAGTCATGACAGTTCCCTGGCCGCGGATGGAGAAGCAGTGGTCCACAGCCATAAGAAGGTCACCTTTGGGGTCTCTTTTCGGGAAGTACGTCTGCTTCTTCAAAAGCTGGGTAAACAAGGAAGCCAAGTTTGTTTAGATCTATACAGAGACTGCCGTGACAGACTTGCACCATCATAAAAACCGCTCACTGCTGGGAGCCTGCATCAGAACATAGAATGACCACTTTTGTCAGCGGCCATTTCCCCAAGCTTGAAACACTTTCTGTATAAAAAAAAATACATCAGAAAAACATCTTCATGTCTGGGTAATTGTGTTTACACAATTTATGTACATCTATAATCTGCTCCTCTGGCCTCCAGTGAATCGGCCTTCCTCATAACCAGCCCGTCATTCAGAAACAGTTGAGGCTGGCAGCGTTAAAAACTGCGGCCTCCTGGCAGACAGAGCTACCATCAGGATAGAAATGTGCAATAAAAGCAAAAGAGTGGACATTCAGACTGACTTTTGATTGCCTTGCATTGACTGTATCCCCTCAAAGGGAAAAGTGAATGGAGAGCCATGTTTACATACCACTCTCTGACAGAATCACAGAGGTATCAGATACTCTCACTGAAGAAGTTGTGGTTTCTTTTTTCTCTTTATGAATTAGACTGAATAGAAATTAAACCTAATAACAAAGAGAGGTTTGAATTGGTTATTTGTCATCTCTGAGATAAATCTGACTTTAGCAAAGAGAAAAGCTAATAATGATTCTCTACGTACAGTATTAGTACGTATTTATTTCTATATGAACCCTCACACATGGCTTTGGGGAGGCCTGGCAGCTTCCACACATTACCTCTATGAGCTGTGGCACTCCCTGTGGCTCCTCTGTGTCAGAGGCCTCTGGGCCCCCAGGCCTGGCTGCCACAGCAATCACTGGACATTCCTTAAATCTGACCACCAGAACACAAAAATAGTCAGTTTCTAGAACTATTTCATTTGGTGATGTTGATGTTTTGTCAATTTAAGAAAACAAGAAGAGGGACAGCAAACACGCAGATTCTGGATTACACAAACTGAAGCACAATGTGTGGCGATTTTAAACTAATGAGGGCACAAGTGAGGCACCAACAGAGTTATTCATGAATATTTATATTTAAATGACACCCCCTCTGCACAGATCTTATACATTTATATCACCCAGAGATGCAAACCTGGTGTTCTCCAGCGTTTTGTGTAGCCTTTTGGTCATTTTCTCAATGGAACTTTGTCTCTTGTTGGGAGGCAGTAGATCAATCTTATTCAAGACGACGACCATGCGAGGGCACGTCAGCTCTCCTATCAGCAGACACTCTGCAGTCTGAGTCTGCACGCCCTTCACCACATCCACCACCAGTATCATCAGGTCTATGATTTGGGCACCTACAGAAGACAGATATTACAGAAGTGCAGAAGAAGCATCAAGCTGAAGCTGAACTATGCAGCTTTCTTGTTGAATGCTTGTAAGCATTCTGGTCTTTACAGGGATTTATATCTATGGAAAGATGAGGGAAAAATACATACAGCATGTTAGTATGAAGCTGAAACAGCAATACAAACAGGAGTGCACACACGCACCCAGAAATAATAGTAAAACAAGAAGTGAATTAGGGGAGGAGGGGTGCACAAACACAAAGAAAGAGTAAAGGGCTAGAGGGTTGAAACCAGAGCTGTAGCTCACTTGGTTGTCTTCCCTTTCACTCTTTTCTTTTCCTGGCTTTGGCAGTCTCTCTTTCCTGTGCTCCACACTTCTCTCTGCTTTTATTTGGCTCCCGTCTCTTTCCTGTGCGCTACCCATTTGGGACTGGAGGAGGGGAAGTTTATTACAGACCCCAATCTGCACTCTTTTCTTCCTCCCTAACCTTCAGCATGCACCAACCAGTTGCTCGTGTGTTTGGTTAACTCTCTTCACTTTCAGGCATAGTGTTTGGTGCCTTATGTGCCTGAAAAACATCAAAATCTATGACGGTCTGCTTGTTTGTGCAGAATATTACAATTTAACACGGAGAGAATGTGGATTTTTCACTTGCAAGACATAAAAATGGTTATTACAGATATGGTCACAGTAAACATCACAACTTGTTTGCTTTGCAATGTTGGAGCAGTGGATTGGTTCCCTTAATATTCCCAACAGATCATCATGCTTCTTTCAACCTGGCTTTTCGCAGACACATTGCACCCCCTGCTGGATAAGTCACTTGAGTTTAAATGCAGTAATGATGTGGACTCCACAGCAGTTGAGAGTCCAGCTAAAACCCCTTAGTTGGTTTATAGAATGTAGAGGTTGTCTTTTTTTTATTGAAATGAGTCAAACCTCTCTCCAGTTTATGGAAGGCATCACAGAGGAAACTGGAAAAACAAAAACTGTGCAGGCATGATTTCTGATTTTGTCATTCCAATTATGCATCTTTCAGATGTTTAACTTAACTTAACATTACTTTTTTATGGTCACCCTGCCATAGTTGAGTTCTTATTATATCCTAATTTGATCGTTTCTGCTTCATTTTCACAATTGCACTGTAATATCGAATTATCCAGTGTCCCTTCTTGTTATTTTCACTTCGTATCGTCTTCCTGCATTTATTTATGGATCACTCTTTAGTAAACTGCATAAACTGAAGTCATTGTGTGTCTTTTATTTCAGTTTTGCAGCTAATCCTCAATAGTGACCCGTCATGTGTCTTTTTTTTTTTAGAAACAGCAAGCTCCTGCTTGATCTTTAATCGCTCTTTGTAACATGTTTGTAGTGGGACTATAGAGCCTCTGACTCCCAGTGTCCCCCTGACAGGAGTCACCTGTCCAGTTATCTTTACACACTAAGAATTGGGGTCAATGTCTTATAGTGTTCCCAACAAGTGTCATCTGAGTTTACCTCCGATAATAGTCCGGATCAGAGAGGCATGGCCCGGACAGTCCACCAGAGTAAACTGAAGGCTGTCATATGGCTGCTGCCCTTCACTGTCTCGCAGGTGATCGGGAAAGTCCACCGTGAAAGAGGAGAAACCGAGGTCCAGCGTGATCCCTCGCTCCCGGGACTGCGGGTTCTTGTCGAAGGCAGCCGTAGACGCCGTGCTGCTCAGCGCTTTGGCGAGTGAAGTCTTCCCGCTGTCAACATGTCCGAGCACGCCGACATTGAAGTTTAGCGTTTTAGTGCGGCTGTCAGAACTCTCCGACATTTTTTTTAACTATCTGGTAAAGTGTTATCGAACATGCGTGTTTTCATGCACGCCGAGCTGAACCCTGTACTCAGCAAACTCCGACCGTCGCAGTTCACAAACTTTTCCGTTGTTTGCGTTTGCACAAAACCAGACGTTTTCGGCTTTCAAAGTATTGAATCTGATAGTAAACCTGCTTGCAGTTGCGAGAATCTTCTTCCCGTGTGTTACCGTATTTCATCCGCAGGATAACAACTAAAGTGGAACCTTTATATTAGTAACTAACACAAATCCATGTACTGGAACTAATTTTCAATAAACAGTACTTTGATTATAGCAGCATCTACAAAGCACTTATATATCTTAACTTTGCAATTACTGAATGCTTTTATTGGCAAAGTGATTTTTTTACCTTGTTTCTACTACAACAACTCAAACCGGATACAAACGGAAATTAAACCTCATACGGCTTGTGACACATTTCTAGCCAATCAGATCTTTACATGTCCTTACAACACCCAATCATATTCTACAGTAGTTGAGGTAGGCGGTACCTTAGGATATCTCTTCCGGTTATTTTGCCTAGTAACCCACATGGAAACAGGCTTTCCTGTGTTTTGAGTTTCGGCGCCGACTGCGGCGGTGAGAAATAATTAACGTCAGAGGTGTTGTTTTATTCGTCTTTAGCGTATCTTGGAATCTTTACATAACATATTAGCATAATTACCACAGCTATGAAGATCGAAGAGGTAAAAAGCACCACAAAAACTCAGAGGATCGCCTCACACAGTCATGTCAAAGGACTTGGGTTAGACGAGGCCGGAATTGCTAAACAGACAGCATGTGGACTAGTTGGCCAAGAGGCTGCTAGAGAGGTAATTTTAATTTTTTTTACTGTTTGTACACTGTTCTGAACCTGAAAGATTTTTCTGGAGAATATTTAATTTAAAAAGGTTATTTAGTTGCCTAGCGTGAAATTCAGTGCACCGTAAGCTAACTGTTAGCACTGTTGTGTCGCTGTTTCATCCGTTGCTCAGGCGCAATCAGAGAAAGCCCTTCTTGTACAGGAGGGCCCATTAAGTGATACTCCTTAATTCATTATGTTAATACATATTCGGCCACCCTAATTTGAGTCTGAACAATAAAGATGTAAACTTGTGCAGTTTATTACAGGCAAAAATCATCACTTTTGAGGATGTTGGTAAAACATGTTTTTGAAAATGTATAATCCTAAAGTGCGTCATGTCTGTGGCAAAGGACTAGTTTAGGTATCAAAGAAGTTAAACCTACCTCATAATACAGCTTACTATCTTAATTCTTCCATTATGCCAATCATTTTTAGAAATTCAACATACAAATAAAGGTTGTGGCAAATGTTTTCAGAGATGTATTTACACTTTTAAGGCTTTATTAACTAAGTACACTAACTCCTGTTGTCCAAAACAATGTTTTCACATTTTTGTTTAATTGTATAGGTTTCACTTTCTCCTTTTTATCATTAGTTTGGATTTCTCTATTTTATTTGAATTTCTGTCAACCAGTTTCATACTTTCCTTGCCACAGTTTTTATATCTCTTAATATTTCATACTTGAATATTTAATGATTTTGTAAAAAAAATCTGTTTTGTTTTTTAGGCTTGTGGCATCATTGTTGAATTGATCCGCTCGAAAAAGATGGCAGGGAGGGCAGTTTTACTGGCAGGACCCCCTGGAACAGGAAAGGTGAGGACACAGTGGACATAAGGTGGCAAAATATTATTTAAAAAAAAATACAACCTGATTAACAGTAGCCTCTGTTATTGCTTTTCATCTCTCCCCTCCCACCATCAGACTGCCCTCGCCCTGGCTGTTGCACAGGAGCTGGGAAACAAGGTGCCTTTCTGCCCTATGGTTGGCAGTGAAGTTTACTCTTCTGAGATTAAAAAAACAGAAGTTCTTATGGAGAATTTCAGGAGGGCAATTGGTAAGTGTGAATTATTAATCCTATCTGGAGTTTTTGCAAAATTTAGATTTCCCTTATGCACTATTATAGGATCAATTCTGGTGGATTCACTAGCTAAAACATGCACACTCCAAAGTCTGTCAGGATGCAAAGAAAAAAGGTCAAGATATGAAGAAAAGAATGACTTCTTAAATTGCAGAGAGATATTAACTTTGGCTTAAAGAGGGCTGAAGAAACAATGTTGTCATGAACTGTAAGTTAATACTCATAAGCGGATTTATGTCGATGACTGTTGAGAGGAAGGGGTCCGCTGCACTGCTGATGGCTCCTGTCCAGTGTGCAGGAAATGGACCTTAGATAGGGGCAGAAATGGTCATCAGCAGATTTGTTTTACCTCCTAGACCAGGTCCTGTGGTGGGCAGTGGGGTTCATTTGAAGTTTGTCATCACCTTGTCAATAACAGCACTGCAGCACAGTCCCTGCCCGCTGCCTCTCACTGCTGATCCGGCACCTGTGTGCTGCTCAAACTCGGGTTCATTTGCTCATGTTACACAAACTGATGCCCTGGCTTCTCACAGGCACGCGCACACGTTCTTCGCTGTGATCAAATAAATTATTCAGGAATATAAAGGCCCGATTCAGCGCTCATTCTGAAGTGTGCGTGCGTGTGTGACTGATTGTAATGCTGCCCGCTTTCAGGACTGCGCATCAAAGAAACTAAAGAAGTGTATGAAGGGGAGGTGACAGAGCTGACCCCCTGTGAGACAGAGAATCCCATGGGCGGCTACGGAAAAACCATAAGCCACGTCATCATCGGTCTGAAGACGGCCAAAGGAACGAAACAGCTCAAGGTCAGACTGGCTCCTCTCTAATTGTTGACCAAGGAATGTTAAGCTATTAATCATTTTATGTACAAACAGTGAGATGCTTATTCTAAGTATGTAACAGTTTAACGTTTTTGTGAAATCTGTCTTTGCGTTGTTTGTTCTCTTTTGTTGTCGTAGTAAGAAAATGATTCTTAGAAATTGTAATGCTCAGATTTTTCAAATGCTATGCCAAATTATATTGTACAAGGTAATAATAGTTCGCCTAAATGTTTTTTTAGTTGGATCCCAGCATCTACGAGAGTCTTCAGAAAGAGCGTGTGGAAGTGGGCGACGTCATCTACATAGAAGCTAACAGTGGGGCTGTGAAGGTAAACTGATACATTTGTGTGTTGCCACTGACAGTTGCTGGGATTTTTCACAGTACAGACAAAACTGGGCTGTGTTGCATCAGTGATTTACCACAGATATTTGTCATGTTTTCTCCAGCTTGAAACGACACACAAGTGAGACAGTAAGACGTTGAGTCAGATGCAATGACTATTTATCGTCACAACAATTAGTCTTCAACAATATCTTGATTGGGAATAGATTTTTGGACCTTTTTTTTTTTAAATCAGGTTCATTGGTAAACAACTATAAGAATTTACTTAAAAGTTGAAATGTGGAATGGGTAAGATATTGTGTACATTCTAGCGTTTAATTGTTTATATTCTGTTCATTTCACAAGTATTCCTGTTTACAACCATGCTGAGTGCTTTCGGTCTTTGTTCCCTTCAGTCTGTTGTCCTCAGTCCTTCACGGTGGCATTCTGCTTTCATCCCTCTCTACTCTGCATTAAAGCTCTGTTGCACTTGTGCTGTACTTTGGAATGAACATCTCTCATTCTTGCAGCTCTTCGTGCTCCTGCTATCTTTTCATCTCCCCTAATTCCTCTCTTCCAGCAGCCAGGTTTGCGGCCCGTGTTGACAGGCTGCGATGACGGCTCTTTTAATCAGTGCAGGTGGGCCGGGGGCCCGGGTCAGCTGTAGTCGGAGGGCCTGGTGACACATTTGTTACTGTTGACAGCAATCTCATGACTGGCCCTCTCACATGCTTTCATCCCTGCCCTGTTGTCTGCGATGGGCTGGCGGCAGGATCAGTCATACACCTGCTCTCCCTCCTCCCGTCTGTGTTCCTTTGTTTCATCGTAGGCCATGCCAAATACCTTCTTCTTTTTTTTTAAAGGTTGTTAATGAAGATGTTACTTTATTATCTCTGCAGAGACAAGGTCGTTGTGACACCTTTGCAACAGAGTTTGACCTGGAAGCTGAAGAATATGTGCCACTGCCCAAAGGTGATGTTCACAAAAAGAAGGAGATAGTCCAGGATGTAACGCTGCACGACCTGGACGTGGCAAACGCACGGCCACAGGTGGGTAAACTGCACGGCCTGTATTAATTAACACATGTGATAGCTTCTGTAGAATTATGTAATAATCAGACTTCTTTTTTTTTCCATCCCAGGGGGGTCAGGACATTCTCTCCATGATGGGTCAGCTGATGAAGCCCAAAAAGACGGAAATCACAGGTTGGTAAAACGCAACTGCTGACCTGAGCTGCAGGTGTGGAGCTGAGTGTGACCGGCTGTCGTTCTCTGACTCCAGATAAGCTTCGTGCTGAGATCAACAAAGTGGTGAACCGCTACATCGACCAGGGCGTGGCCGAGCTCGTGCCCGGGGTGCTGTTTGTGGACGAGGTGCACATGCTGGACATCGAGTGCTTCACCTACCTCCACCGCGCTCTGGAGAGCAGCATCGCCCCCATCGTCGTGTTCGCCTCCAACAGAGGAAACTGTCTGATCAGGTGAGAGGTGTGAAAAGTGTTTCACGGGGGGGAAGGAGGACTGCGCACAGCTGGTAACGAGTGTGTCGTCTTTTACCAGGGGGACAGAGGACATTAGCTCCCCGCATGGGATCCCTCTGGACCTGCTGGATAGAGTTATGATAATCCGCACCATGTTGTACACGCCTCAGGAGATGAAGCAGGTGAGTCTTAAGTGTCGCAGTCAGTAAAGGCATACTTGTGACATCTCGTATCGCATACCTAACAACAAGGTTGTGGTTTGTAGATCATCAAGATCCGTGCTCAGACAGAGGGCATCAGTATCAGCGAGGAGGCTCTCGCACACCTGGCAGAGATTGGCACCAAGACCACCCTCAGGTATGTGCGCACACTCTCCATGATCTACTGCACAACAAGTGGTGAAAGTGTTTGGCCTCAGGTTTTGAGTTTTCAAATACAAGCTAATCATTTCAAACCCATGAACACATAGAAATCATCTAAATTGGTGAGAAACGGCTATATGTGCAAGATCAAAAGCATTGCCTTACAAATCAGCTGCCAGCACTTCTCTCAGTGAGTTTTAATCAGTTCAGCAACGACGGGGTTTCCCTTTTACAGCACTGGAAACCAGCAGCTGAAAAATGACTTTTGTAATACTAAGGTAGACATTTTAGGTTGAAAATACTGTAAAGACTTGCAGGTACTTTCCTTTCATTTCCCACACTGCTGATATCTACGGTTTCCTCTCAGGTATTCCGTGCAGCTGCTGACACCAGCCAATCTGCTGGGCCGCGTTCAAGGAAAAGAGACCGTAGAAAGGGAGCAGGTCGAGGAAATAAACGAGTTATTCTACGACGCAAAGTCTTCGGCCAAAATCCTCCAAGACCAGCATCACAAGTTTATGAAATAAAACTGGATTTCTGACATTTCTGGAAAAGGCCGTAAGGCTGCTGTCGCTGCAGAGGTGTTCCATTTTTTGATGCTTTGTATTTTTCTGTCTCTGCTCTCCATTGTGGCTCATTGTCCCACTATGTTTATTATAGCAGACTTGTTCTAATAGATTTAAAGTTTTATTCATCCTTTAAGTTGTCAACTGTTTTTCTGAATAAAAAGAGATACACTTAATTTTCGTCAACATTTTTATTGTTACTTTTACACACAATCGTATACAGAAAAGTTATGTTTTTTTATGATCATTACAATAGAGATCACCCAGAATTAAGATTTCAAGCCAATACAGTTGTGGCCTTTTCCAAACTTTTCACTTTGTTCCTGCATTAAAAATGTTCCTTTCAAAACACGAGTGCTATTTCGATGAAACATTAAGTGCTCATTACAAATAGATTTATCATTTGAAAGTTATTCTACTTCAAAGTCAGGATTCAGTTGGGTGAGTTAATTTATTTCTGCAACTTTCACATCCCAACACTAACCAAAGATTATAAAAAAAAGGTTAAAGAACGTTTTCAGTAAGTGAGTGATTGGTTAAATATTACACTAATCTGTCCAGCTGTACATGTGAGAGTTGGGTAAGTTTATCTCTAATGACTCGTGTATTATACAGTTGTTAGATAATTGCGATGCAACGCCCATTTGTAACATAGTGAAGCAGAAGAACAAAGCAGTGTGACAACTTTGTATAGAAAGGCATTTGTTGAAGAAATGTACTTGGCCACATTTCCTCAGGGGGTCTACGGTAAATGCTTTAAAGTTATGAACTTGTGTTCTGTACGTGTAAACCTGGAGCTTGTTGGCATGACCTCATGACACATGCAACTTCTAAAAGTTTGCAAGACTTTCAAAAGGCTGAGTTAGAGCGGGAGACTCCTTAACATGGAACAGCTGCTGTCCAGCTGTAGTCGGGAAGTTTCCCTTCACTTCCTGACCGGTCGAGCGGAGCGTGTGTTGAAAACGGTCTCTCCTCCTGACCTCGCTCCACTGAACACTGAGGGAGCAGCTTTACCAATTTTCTCTGCAAAGAAACAGAATGTTGACTGTATAAAGATGTGGCATGGTATGAAACACTGTTGATTTCCACTTTAAATACAGTAAACACACATATTTAATCCCACTGAGCTGCAGGGAGCATTGTGGGAATCTCCATGCATTACATCCTCTCCTTTCCTTTCTGTATATGGAGTGGAAAATAGAACATCATAAGAAATTCCCCTGGCACACACACACAAACACACACACAGCAGCAGATAAAACACAGACGATTCTTCCTTTGGCTATCACCAGCATGCCTAGCGTCCAGTCAAGTTAGCCTTTGTGTTCATGTGCATGTGTTTGTTTGTCCTCACCGCATTCCTCCATTACTTCAAAAGTTTTGCTCTTCGCAGCCCCGCCGGTACCCAGCTTGGTCTTAGCTTCAGTCAGGTCCTCTTCTCTCATTTCAGGACGTTGAGTTTGTTCATCTTCCTGACCAGGCTGAAGGGAGGAAACAACGTTTTGGAAGTCCGTCCTATTCTCTTCAATACATTTCATAGCTGTGAGGAAATTCCCACGGCAGGCTTACCTGAGACATGATGGCTGAGCGACTAAAAGAAGTGGGCAGCAAGAAATGATCCAGTTTCTGCCAGCAGTCTGTTTTCCTCTTGAAGGTTCCACCCAGAACTCGCTCATATATACACAAAATCTGGCTGTGATTCTCCAGTGGACAATAAATCTGTTCTTAAGGCTAAAAAAATGATGTAATAAGAGAGCAGACTCCTCCTCTTCTGAGTCCCTCTGCCTATGTTGTTTCCCATTGTGTCATTGAGAAATGAAGAGAACACAATAAAAAAAAAGCTTTGGCATCAGGCTTCGGCTAATAAAATCCAGATATACAGGAAGATGACACACGGTTCGGTCATCTTTCTTCTCTTCCAGCACACCACTGTAAAATAATTCAGTCCTTGCTCTTTTTTCATAACTGAAACAAATTCAGCCCTTTGGGCCCGTCAATCTAGAAATCCGTTATGCAGTATAAAGGTGAATGAACAGCTGAAAAGAATATCCCAGCTGTTAGTGACACGATGTCCAGACTGCTGTTCCAAAGCATGCTCTCAGGCGTGAGTAATTCTCTGAAGTCCAGCTTGGTTAGAGAACTGCAAAGGTTTGAACCTGGCAGTTTGAAGTAACCAGCAATCTGTGAATCACCATTTACTCGGGTTATTTACCTATGTACCTGTATAATGTACAGTATTCAAAGTGACTTGAATACTGTTTGAACCTTCCAAATAATGCCAGTCTTTATTTCTTCTTCCTTAAGTTTTAAGGAATCACAAAAAGTCCAAACATTGTCTTTTTGCTGATACTTTAGGAAAGTTTGGCGAATTTTGCATTCATTTTCTGAAAAACTAACAATTAAAATTCTTCAGCTCTCATCCTGACAGAGAGGTAAGACATTCTGGTCATTTGACCCTGCAACATTTCACTACTTTCCTTCTGAATGAACTGAAACACTACCAAGGTCCATCGTGTTGCTTCCTTTAAAAAGTGTAATACAAACTGGGTTTCCGACAAAAATCCACTGTATTTCTCCAATACATTCCTCCTTACACCAATAGCTGGATCCTGAAACAGTCATGACATGTATTACACTCAGGAATGTTACCATGGCAATACAAACAAACACCCACAGGACACACAGTCCATTAAAAGAAACAAACAGGAAACAAATAAAGATTTCCCCCCTCCCCTCCACCTTTCCCATTTGCAGTAACTACTGATCAGCATCTTTTCTCTTTGTAGTTGGGACAGTTTGCTTTCTCTGATGATCTTTGGCAGATTCAAGAATGTTTCTTCCTGTATCGTGGCAAAAGCTGAGTCCTCGCAAACTGAACCAGCTGAGTCTCTGTGAGAAGAACGGCCCCGAGAACAAGGAGGAGGCACGCCCCTCCCACACCGATGTGGAGCAGCCTGAGCAACCAGCCGCCGTCACAGCAGAGAGCCGCCTAAGAAAAAAACAGCAACGATGACAGAGTAAAACACCCGAGGACGGTAACACTTAATACTGAGTGGAAACGTCTTCCCCGATACCTCAGAAACAGCTGTCACCACCGCACTGAAGGCGAGGGCCAGGAGCAGCAGCGGAGAAGGGACGAGGCCTCGGAGGGGTTTCCACTGGCTGGAGTGGAAGTAACGCTGGATGTAGAGCAGACTGTGTACAATACGGAGGCCCATGTTGAGACAGTTTGCCAGAATAAAGCCCACGCCGCCGGCCCACCACGTCAGCATGTAGGACAGGAGGAGGAAGGACACGGACAGGGCCAGCATCACCAGGTTATACCTGAGGACAGAACCCGATCCCGGTGTTAACGGACAGATTAGGAAGCGCGCAGTAACTTGGACGTCTGCCTCTGTCTTACTTGTCAACCTCCTCCTGGCTCATGGCGGCGAAAACAAAGCACTCCGTTACACCGTTTACAGCGAGCAGGAGGACGTAGCAGCTGTAGCATCGCAGCAAGCTGGGCCCTGTCAGGACATGAACAAGAGGACTTCTATACAAATAACATCCAGCAGAAAAGAGTTATGTGCACTGCACTTTGCTTATTTGGTGTCCCGTAAGGCACATATACCTGCTCCATTACTGAGCAGAGCCCCGCCATAAATATCCAGAGCCAAGTGAGAGTAGGCATATCCAAACACTGTGATAATCATCCCAATCACCAGCACCAGTTTCAGCAGGTGCTCCAGGACCTCGGCGGCAACGGCGGCTTCTTCCTGCATGCAAGCACACACACTAAGTCATATCAAACACAGCTCCTGTCTTTCAGCAGACATGACTGTGTTCATTCCAGCAGATCAGACCTGTTTTTGACTACGGACGTCACGGCCTCGCTCTAACACTTTGGCAAAAAAGATATAGAAGCTTTCCTCAATGGGCAGGAAGATAAAGCGCGCCACCATGGATCCCAGGTTGTTGACGATGTCGTAAACACCCTGGTCCCCAAAGCTGAGGACGTTCAAGAAGGTCATGACGTAGCGCTCCCCCTCTGTCAGGATCTGTTTCAGGAAGGACTGCTTAAAGAAGCTCCATGTGAGTCGGGCAAGAGTCCAGTCTACCAGCGGCTTTTGACCACAGAAGAAGATGAGGAAAGTCAGTCCTACAACAGCGAAGGTTTGACCTCATGGTGTGATATCATAGTCATGACCAAGTTAGAATGCAAAAAGAGAAGCCAGGTCAACAACCTCTTCGTAATGCCTGCGAGGCAGTAAATCTGTCACACTGTAGAGTGGGAAATTCTTCTTCACTGCCTCTTTGGACCCCAGGAAACGGATGAAATAAACAGCATAGCATAACACCAGAAACCCTGTATACACCAACTAAGAGAAGCACAGAAGTCAGAATCATTATTCCTAAATACTTACAAAAACAACATAAAGGACTTTGGCTTTGTGTTTTTCTTACATGAGCAGCAGAGAAGATGTAAAGACCCCATTCTGGAGCAAATACCACCAACACCACAGTTACACTGCATTTCGCGACCATCGCTAAGCTCTCAGCGACTACTTTCAGCCTCACAAACATGTGAGCTTGAGCTAAAACCCAGAGGGGCTCGGCCAGGAGCTCCTGAACTCCTGAAAAGGCAAACAAAACCACAGCCTGACCGTAATAAGGAACGGTCTGGGCATCTGGGACCTCCAGGAACCACAGCCACACACAGCCAAGAAGGATGGCCCATAAAACACCAAGAGGAATCCTGAAACGATTAAACAAATGTCAGTAGGGCATCAAAGTTTGACATAAAACACATTTCATACATTTGACTAAACTCACGTGAGCCATAGGAGATTAATAACTTGTCTCCAGCTGCGATGTGTCCCTGATTCCCCACTCAAACAGGCTCTGCGGAAAGCCTCTCTGGATAGAAACACTAATGTGGAATACAGAAGTGTCAGCCTGTGCTCGTAAGACAGAGAGAAAAACACAAGTTATGGCAGCCGGTGCAGGAAAATGTTTCAGCCTGCTCTTCTTTGGGTTATCAAACCCCACGTTTGCTTTACCTGACATTGACAACCCCAATTAGTTCTTTGGACACAAACCGGAGAGTGAACGCGTTCAGCATGAAGGTGAGAACACGAAACATCACCTGAGATTGAAACAGATATAAGGTACATCACCAGTTACGGGCAGAAATGTATAAGGCAGAGCTAATGTATGTATTCATTTACCTGTAGCAACACATTGTACGATGCTAAAGTTGATGCATTCCTCAGTATATCCTGAGAGCTCATTTTGGACTCTTTAAAACTTCGATCAAGAGTGAAGTTAAAGAAATATCCGCCGTTTTTAGGTTGGACAGGCATCACTGAATCATAGTGACAGGACTAGAAGTCTATAAAATGATAACAGCCCCGAATTCACGGGGGGTTCATTGAACTTCACGATCATTGAGCTGCTTTCTACGACCAAGAAGAGAAGTGTGAGTACTTCCGTACACATTTTACGGTAGCACGTTGCGCGATGACGTCAGAGATCAGTTTATGCACATTGGTGCCGCTAGGGGGCGTAACTCTCCTTTAGCGTCCATGGCAGGACCGACTTTTACTGATTTTACAGTAGTCGGTGACATTGGTTCATTTCTATGTCCATACCACAGGCATTATTGAATAAAACAATAAAACATTCATTTGAAATTGTGGGTCTCTCATTTTGATAAAAATGGAAAACTCAGCAGTATTCGTTGACATTATCTGCTCACTTTGAATTGTGTCCGTTAAAACTTTTCAAGAGCTAATAAAACTGTACCAAATACACATCAAAATGTTATGTAACATGTCGAGACCAAACTCAAATTTAAGATATTTCTGGACTCCTTCTTTAACACTTTCACTAATAAATTATCAGCCAAACAAAAAGTTCCATGTTTGAAAAATTGAATACACTTCTTGAGCTATATATTAAATACTTGAGAAAATAAAGAAGGGGCACAGCGTTGGGATTTGATGCTCTTTTTTTTAATCAGATGTAAAATATGGAGACAGTTTAAAAAAACAACATAAAAGTACACCTTCAATGAACCAATATACATGTTACAATAATATACATCTACAATGTTTATATACAGCTTTTCAAAAATATTCCACTCAGTTAATACACTCTTAGCAATACTAAATTCCCCTGCTACACTCAGTATTCCTGTTTAATGACAGGAACTTTCTATACAGCTGAACACAGCTGTAGATGTTTAAAGAAGTTTGTTCAGCTAACAATACTACCAGATCTTCTTAGTACAAGTACATTTCTTATTTATCCCGTCAAATGCAAGAATTCAGATGATTCTGTGGATGAAATCAATAATTTATCGATACTTTAAAAATGGACAAGTCACTTTTGTTCTAAATTATATACATGCAGTCATTTACATGATCAATATACCCCAGAAGTATAGTTTATTTTACACACTACAGTATGTTAATAGCTTTTTCCCCATCGTGATTTTCCACCTCAAAGAGAACTAAACAACTTGTTAAAGGGACAAAAAAGTCTGTAAATGGCTGCAGTGATGTCATGTTGAATAAAGATTTCCAGGATCCCACCATAATACTATAACTCATACAGACTTTAACGACCTCCACAAACACAACTGCGCACAAACACAATTACACTAATATATACAGTACAGGGGCTTGTTTCTACATCTACGTACCAAAGGAGAAAACTTTGTGCCTAAAATAAGGTTACACAAATACTGACTGAAGAACAGTTGATTATTCTGCAGGTATGTGAGCCATCCCATAAATATCAGGAAGGTCTCCTGAGTGAGACTGGTGTTACAGCAGTTACTTTTCTAAAAGGTGCTCCATCTCAGGGTTCATGAAGGAAAACCCAGCAAATACGTCTTGGTCAATGGAATCTATGAACCTCTTATCGCCGTGGGACAGCCGCGGCTTCTCAATGAGGAACTCCCGATCAAAGTTACTGCAGTCGTTTGGTGCTTTCTGTAATTAGGAACAAACACATTGTAGCAAAATATGTAAAATAGTGAGAATCACAAGACAGCACACATCCAATAGTTGTCAGAATACTGCTCAGTGACAGGTGTGAAGCATACCACTTTGGGTTTGAAGGGGGGCTCAATCTCTCTCCTCTCCAAGGCCTTCCAGTCAATGGATTTGAAGAAGGGGTGCAACTTGATATTTCCCACAACTCCTAACCTGCGAGTGGGGTCTCTCTCAAACAACTGCAGGGAGACCGAGAAAGATGAATGTTGACATTTATATCCCGTTTGCCTCATCTGACCTTTTACTTCTTTCTTGACTTTTTTTGAAAGACCCATTTCTCTATTCATGCCTCTTTTGTAAATGTAATCATAGCAGGCCTACTCTTTGAGCTTATTGTATCTCAACTGAAGCTGTCTTTCTCAAGGACTCAATAGAAAGCGTAACATTTAAAACATTTTGGGGGAAAGATAATAAAAATACAAACTTTAGTGCAAAGCTCAATCTTTTTCTGTTGCTGTTGCTTTTTAGTCATCAAATTAAAATTGTACTAAGTGATTAGAAAAGCAATCACATTTGCTTAAACTGTCAACATGTCAGCTGCAGCGCATAAAGCCATGATGCAGACCTGCTCAAGCAGGTCTTCGGCCTCCTTAGTGATCCAGCGGGGGTAGTGAGGCGTGTCCATGCGGATCGACTCAAACAACTCCTCCTCGTTATCTCCGTGAAAAGGGGACTGACCAATCAGCATCTCGTACAGCAACACCCCAAATGACCACCAGTCAACTGAGAATGAGTATTTCTGTCCCAGCAGGATCTGTGTTTCCACAAAAGGAAAAATTAGGAAATATCTCAGACAAGCACTTGAATATTTTTCCCTTCAGAATGAAAAATAAACAAAGAAAGTCAGTTGAAAAACTCCCGCTGGAATTCCAGCTGTGGAAAACTACCTCTGGGGCGATGTAGTCAGGGGTACCACAGAAAGTTGTGGCATGCATTTCCTCAAACATATTCTCCTTGCACATGCCAAAGTCAGCAATCTTTATGTGCCCCTCGTGATCCAGCATCACGTTGTCCAACTTAAGATCTCTGGAAACAAAACAGAGTGAGAAACATTGGAGATCATTTGGATAAAATAAGATAGTAAGTTTTGCAGCTTGAGCATCGCCCACATTCACAGTTTTCTTTACAGTTACTGTTCACAGTTGCAGACCGCACAATTGTATGACATTTTTCAGCATACAGGTGTCAAAATGTGTGGGATCAGCCAGCCAGGCAATTTTCAGAGTCTTCGGTTGTTGATTTTCACATTCAACTGAATTTACTGGTGCATACAAACAAATAAATGCATATTTGATCCAAAAGTATTAGCTGTGTGATAAATAAAAAAAATTCTGTAGCATGTGAACAAATGTGCTTTGTATTTTTTGTTCTGACCTGTAGATGACCCCTTTGGAATGCAAGAACTGAAGACCACAAACGATCTCCGCAGAGTAGAACCTGGAAAGACAGCGACAGGCAGATGTCAGGCACCCATCTCTGATGGAAAACCTGCATCTCTGCCCACTGGCTACCGTGATACATATCTCACAAGTTGGCAGCTTAATGCTGGTGTCACTGAAGACTTGTTTCAGCGTAGACCTGAATTATTGAAGAGGACATTTGTATGGAGTCGGAGACAGGTGAATAACGCTCTCCTAATGTGAAACCCAAGAGCTTCTGTAAGCCGAAAGATTAGCCTGTTACTGACCTGCTTCCCTTGCCATGTTTCAGGCAAAACGAATGTGTGCTATAAGCAGACAGAAGTCATTCATTGTAAATGAATGAATAAGCGGGTTGGTTAGCTGCTCAATCTGCCTCACTTAACATCATTACTCATAAGCCTGGTTCTCCTGTATCAAGTACAACAGCTACACGTCCAAGTACAAAAGACCGCGACCAAACAGAATGTCAAACGTCTAGACTGTGTGTCAGAGAGAAGACTGCACTCTCTTTGATGGGTTAAAAGCTCTGCAGTGGCTGCTAAGTGAACTGATTTTGTGTTGGTTATCTAAAACTGTAGTACAGTAACCACCAAAGGAAAATATGTAACATAACCAGTTACTCTCCTTCCAGGTGGCAGCTTATTAAATGACAGAGAACCAAACAAACACACACAAAACAGAAAACTTTGTACAAAATGTAAGTTAAAGTTCTGATAAGGGGACAGTTGTCATAATGTGTACGTGTTGAGTGATAAAGGAATGGAGGTTCAGCAGCTGGTGCACTGCAACTCACAGAAGAAAAGAAAAAAGATCGCACACGAAGATGTTACACATGGAAATAATTTGTGTTTGAACCACTTTTCAGTGATAAGTTACAAGCAGCCTCAGGAAGGACGCAGTCTCAAAGAGAATTATAAAAAACAAGAGGAAGGAGCTCAAACTCAAATAATTTGATATAGAATTCTTGCTTAATGACTTTCAGTTGTAAACTGCACATTAGCATCAAGTGGATAAAAGAAAGCCCGGTTGGGACTGAGTCAACAGAACACATGTCAAAGCCTTTGTCACGCACAGTGAGAATAAATGATCCAGGGTGAATACAGTCACTGAGTGAAGAGCATTTGGCAACACAAGATCCAGTATCAGTGTTTACAAGACACATCAAACCCCAAGTAATGCAATGACCAGAACTGTATTCACACAAAGGAGAACTGGTTTGTAACACCTTTACAGTCGTCTATATGAATGCTTCCTTGTGCAATTGTCCACACAAAGATGAGCTCATTTTTCACTCAGCTTTTCGGCCTAGAGTGCTTGCTGGTTCTCTGCTTTTGATATGAAAACCACAACTTAACAGAAAAAACAATGTCGGCATGATTTAGTCACATGTGAATCTGAGTCACTTATCGGTGAAGTAAGGTAGTCTGTTCCGTTTTATTAGTTGGTGTCAGTTATGGACTGTCGCCTCACAGCTAGACGTTACCAACGGGGGACTTTCTGTGTGGAATTTTAATGTTTTTCCCCTGCATGTGTGGGTGCTCCCTAGACACTCCCGCTTCCGCCCGCCCGCCATCCATGAACACTCATGTTAGGTTGATCTGCTATTCTAAAGCGACCCCGGCAGTGGGAACCTCTCTGTGTTGGTCCCGTGATCGATGGATGGATGACCCAGTTATGAAAGACAGGCAAAGAAGTCATAGAAGCCAATCAGTTCAAACAAAAACAACAGCATGCCTACTGGCAGAGGTCAGGCACTCCCTGCGTCACAAAGCACATGTAATAAACAGTCTGGACCTGACATGGCCGACACCCACACAGATTTACAAACAGTGCAGTGTACGTTGGCTCTTAAACCGAGCATTAGCTATTATCATGCCAGATAAACTTTTTTTGATGATCAAATATCATTAGAATAACAAAAAAATCACATTTCTATTCCACTTTAGGCTAAAGTAATTGTTCCAATAACTTCAGTACACATTAAAAATACGTTGTTGTTTAACATAACACCAAAAAACAGCAGTTAGCTGATTCAAAAAGGAACACAAGATGAGGAGAAACTGAGTTTTGACAACCTGAAGGTTTACTAATGTTACTTAACCCCATGTTGTTGTGTTCAATTACACAAGCATGCATTGTGTATTTTCCTCTTGCCATTGCATGCAGCATACACCCATGTCAAACAAAATGATCCTCACTTGTGTCTATCTGTTTTAACCCTAATCAGTGTGTGTTAATGCACCTTCTAGATAAATGTTAATGTGTAATTAGTGTGGAACTTAGGGAAACTTTAGTTGGGAGGTTGGGATACCACCACACTTTCTTTTGCAAACTTGATTCTCTGGAGGGATTCCCATAGTGCGAGAAGAGGTGGGTGGCAGGAGCTGATGCCTCCCCATGAAATCTCACCAGAACACAGGCACAAAGAGTTTTTCACTCCTTAGAGGAGTTAATGGACATCAGCCAGCCTTTAATGCCTCTAACATCAGTACCTTATGAACATGAAAAACGACATGGTTGGGAAAAAGAAACAGTATTCAACTTCTGTTCCACACAATAAGCACCGTAAATATCAACTCGAGGGTTTTGTGTGTGTGCGAATGTGAGCGCCCAGGGAAGACGACAGGTCTAACTCACGTGGCTCTGTTGAGATCAAAGCGCCCTTTTTCTTGAATATGAAACATCAGATCACCTCCATTCAGATACTCCATCACAAAGAACAGATGCTCCTGTGGACACGATTCATTGTTAGTATCGCTGGTATAGTTCCAGTCGATGCTGCTGAGCATAAGAAAGGCAGACAGGGAGCACCTTTGACTGGAAGGTGGAATAAAGGTGAGTGAGGAAGGGGTTTTCCCAGGCTAAAGCCAAGATTCGTTTCTCTATCATTGTGCACTCCACATCGTCATCCATCAGCACAACATCTTTCTTAAGAGCCTTCACTGCAAAGTACTCTCCACGCCCCTTCAGCTCTGCCAGAAGAACCTACAGAGAGAGGGGATAGGTGTTAACAAACGCCTGCACGGATGGCAGATATGGCCCATGCAATTATTTCTGTTAGAGGATTACAGTTTTTATTGTAATTACAAGAGCCGGCAAATGTATGTTTGATGGTACCTTGCCAAAGCTGCCTTTTCCTAACACCTTGTGGAAGATGAAGTTCTCTACGTTGATGCGCGTCAAATGGGTAATACGAGACTGTGGCTGGCTGGACCCTTCCCACAGCCTGCCATAAGGAGACCCATCTAATGGTCAAAACAAATTATATGACATAGTAGTTATTGATTCACATAAATACTTTAAGCGTTGCATTATTACCATCATCAATATTCATATGAAAGCATGCAAGTAAGTGTACAAACAGACAAATGCTCACTGACCATTCATATCAAGCCCAGGCAGTTGGTTCACTTCATCATATATTCCAATATCAGTATTTGCATCTGAGCGGCGAGGGAATGATTTCTGAGGAGTAAAGACAAACAAAAGTAGAACATAAAGAAACAATCTATCCACACACTGGTCACAAATTTTAAGTGGAACTGTCAAGAATGATGAATACTGTTATTTCCAAGAGTCATCTATCACTTATGCATGACAGATGTCTGAAACAGACTGAGCTCAGAGCTTTTGTAAGATCAAAGTCAACTGGTCAACTAGTAAATGTAATATAGTTAAGAACATGGTTAGTATGAAAAGAAAATCAAGTGCTTTTAAGATCAGAATATTGTTGTTTGGTAAGAATCTTTCTACAGGTCTCATTAGTTTCTTTTGTATTTCACCGTTTTTTTAAATGTGGGAAAAACCACTCAAACAAGGCATTTCCCATGTCAGAGGTAGCTAATTATCCTCAGAGCTCTGAGGCCTAGAGCACATTAAGGGTGGTTTCTGTAACTAAAGCTACCTCACATGGGACAAGGCTGTAACTACGGCAACTCGACGGGAGTGCCTTACCAGCTGTAGGCCCGAGGCTGTTTCCAACAACAGTGCCTAATAATCTGTACTGTTTTAGATAAGTTCACTAATTCCCGATTCTGCACCTGGCTGCGGCCATCCATTCATGGTTTTACCTTTTGACACATGATAATTCAGAAACACACATGGTCAACTTCCAAGTTAGTTTAACTCAACTTTAGAGAAAACTGTTTAGAGGGTCTAGGTACTAATAAATGTTATTAATGCCTGCCTTAGTATCACAATCGCACTGTAATAGATCACATAATCTAATATGTGCCGTGCCCTCAAGAGATTTAAACAGGCTGAAGGGACACTTGATGGGTGTGTCATGTTTATTTCTTCCACTTTACTTTGACTTTAGTTTAAAAAAGCAAGAGACAAATGATTTGACCAAGCAGTTAAGGTCTGTGATCATGTCCAACAACTCACCTGGCTGACTTGTGTTAGTGCTTCGGCTAGTAGTTTCTGATTGATACCACAAAGGTTGGCTACTTTTGCTTGACACTTGTGATGAACGTTCATGGCACAATCTAAGGAAAGAGCAAAATGAATACTTTAAGGGGGGGGGGGGGGGGCACGCTAACATGCCACAAGCCAGCTGTTCGACTGTATCCGCCATGTACCTTCACACTTCAGGCCCTGTTTGACCAGACCCCACAGCAGGCTCCCACAGTGGTCACAGAAGGTGGGACTCATGTAGTTGTGGATCTTGAAACGGTGGGGCATGTCAATCTTAAACCGCTCCTTCTGGAACTATGGGAACACAGAGAAGAAATAATTTTATGGAGAACTGTTTGCAAACCAGTTCAGCGCCATGATACAGGCCTTTTCTTCCCGCTTTGGGGAGGATTTGTCCGAGAATTGCCTAATTTCGTTTAATTGGACTGAAAGCAGAGTGCTGAATGAAAACATTTGTTGCCAAACTTGCATGATCGTTCCTATGTGTCTTTTATCCTGGTTAGCTCTACCATAAGCCAGTAGACAGAATTCAAATGGATGCAAAATTGGAACCACCCGTGCATTTAACGCAAGATGATTCGATGGAAAAACCAGCATTATAAAGGGACTAAAAGAATCAGCCAAAAAAGAGCAAACACTAAAGCCGAGTCAGAGATGAGTGTTCCATACCACAGTATCCCGGCTGTTGGCTGCAGTACCGGTACATCTGCCGATGATTTTGTCAATGCATTTCTTGTGGATGGCTGCGTTGCATTCTGAGAAAAAGCAAAGGTCGACATTACTTCGATTCAACCAAAACAATTAGGAGCTTCTATTCTATTCAGGGTGCAATGTGATCATATATGCCATTCATATAGCTTTCCTTCTGTTTCAACGACAGCACAAAGCAACGTTTCCCTCAAATCACTTCACACTTACGTCTGCATTTATAGCCTTGCTTGTTGAGTCCCCTGTGGAGACAAAGGGATGGACCTGATTATCAGGTGAATGACAGTTTTTGAACATGATTAGTTACTAGACAGCAAAAAGAAAGAAAATGAAGTGTTATGGGGCCACCTTACAGTTGGGATATATTTGAATCTGTAGGTTAATTGGGGACTGGGGGTACCTCAGCGTGTTATTTTATGTATAACAGTATTTTCACCTATCGTTAATTCAATGGACAAAAGAGAATGCCTGGATTCTTCTCTCACACTCACATTTACATCTGAAACTCAGTGAACAGGCTGCGCCTGAGAAGACATCTGCCACATTCATTTGGTCAAATTAGCTGCCGTACGCCCGCATTCAGATCATTACATAACCCAGCAAAACAAGTTCTCTTTCTTTGTGCATTAAAATCAAAAACATCTGAAAATGAATGTCTTAGAGGCTTTAAACTAAATTCGCTTCATTCACCAAGTGCTTTTCCTTAAGAAAAAGGGCTAACAGTACATAAAATAAGTTTCAAGGTCACACAATCTAGTTAATGAAAGTCTGTTCATGATCAATAGTGACTTGGTGTATGTGCAATTGTAGGGGTGGGACAGATGTCATGCGTGTGTGTGCAAGAGTTGTGTGATGGTGAATCAAGGGACTGCACGCAGGGAAGATATATGCTCTATATAAGATTTTTAATATCACTGTAGGATTCTATCTGCTGTTTCGGTTAATCTGCCACCTCGTGAGTGTGTTTACGGCACTGTGGTGGAGGCCGGACTGACCAGACAAATTCTCTGCACACCGAGCAGAAGGTGGGCTGTCGGAAGAACGTGGCGATGAACTCGTGGTTCTTTATGAAGTGGATCTTGGCCTGTTTCATAGCTCCCCTTCTGCGGTTCAGGGTTGGCGCCTCTTCCTCCTTCGAAGCCCGTTTACTTTCTTTAAGATACAGGGTGAAAAAAAAGATTGTGCAACACTTGAGAGGAAAGGCAAAAGTCAGCAGAAATGTATCTTGCCTTGATGATATTCTATGACGATATTGTTCATGTCAAAGCTCGGTGATGGGCAGATAACTGATCAAAGGGTGACCAAAAGTAAATTATATGGACAAATCAATTTGAGAATAAGAAGGATGCTCCTCTGGCTGTCATGAAATTGATCATTTGAGATGTTTAATTAAAAACAAAAAGGAGAGAAAGAAAGTTTTGGGTCATTTTACCATTATCCACACCCTCCAGAAAATACTGCACCGCCATCATCACTTTCCCAGAGGGATGGAGATCCACCTGAGCACACAACACATGTACAGTCAAGGGAGACCCTCAGACACCGCTCTAAGGGACAAATGGAACTTCACCTCATACCCAGAATTCGGCCCGTCCATTGGCCTTCTTGCAGCGCTCAGCAAGGACAGAAACACCCACCGACACTTCAGCCAGAGGCTCCTCTGCCGTTTTCATCAGCAGAACCTCAAGCACACGACCCTCATAGATGTGTGCATCGAAACTGGATTTCCAGGCCGGGTACATGGTAGGCTTCCTCTGAACCAGGGTCTTACCCCGCTCTGTGAGGGGAGAGGAAACAGTACAGAAGAGCCAATAGATTTGTTATGGTGTTTTTGATCACAGGAAATCAGAAACACTGATAACTTAATTTGCAGAAAAAGCTACTTCAGTAAATGACAGGGCAGCTGGTGCTACTACAGACTCACCAGTTGTCAGAGCTTCCTTCATCTTGATTGCGCAGAAGGGTGGGTCGTCCGGGGGGGGCAGGATACCCAAGTCGTACGAGTTAAAGGCAATCCTCAAGAAAGGAGCCATGGTGACGAGAATCAGGATTGCGTGTTCTAAAAGATGAAGAAACTCCATTTTATCCTGGAGGCAATCATCTATTGCAAAATACAGTTTAAACACAGTTATGACCCGTGTTTTGTGTCATTTTACAATGTGCGTGTTTCACAATCCCGTGCAGCTTACTGTCAGATCACATCTGCCCAAACGCACCCCGTGAGGCCTAATCATTTCAGAGAAACACAAGGAGGGAGCTCCCTCTTAGTTGGTGTAAGAAAAACAGACTAAAAACACATTCCTGTCACCAAATGAGACACCTGCACCTGAAAACAGGAGCAGTCGATAATCAGCAAAGACCAAGCAGGCCCAACTGAAACTCACAGAGAAGACTTGTGTCACGCCCTAAAGGTGCGCATATTCAAAGAATGTTAACCCTTTGCTGAGTGACTCCTGTCGCAGAGCAGAGCACCGTTGCAGGCTTTCTGTAGACAAATGCAAAACTGGCTGACGATAATAAGGCATGTACTCCATATTAACCATAAATCTTTCCGTCTAACCAACGGAAAAATGTCTACTTTAAAGATAGCTGTCTCCCTTGTGCTTTAAGAGTTAAACATATACTCGTGTTAAAACACTGGTAAATTGTCAGTGTAAACTTCTGCTGAGGGCACAAGTTGTTGTATGCATCATTTGCTGCCCGCATAAGCTTCCACATGCTGCCCAACCTTTCACGAACCTATGCAGCACCAGTTTATTTGTGTGTGTGTGTGTGTGTATAATTCAGAAAGTTACACCTATTAGACTGACATGTTGGTGAGGCACACGAATGGCGCTTTCGCAGGACTATTTTGTTCATTTCACACACATAAAGGCTCAGTACGAGAGGGGAAAGCGTCATTACAGTGCCTCTCAGCCTGTTTACTTCTCAGTCACTGTACATTAACAGTGTCGAGTTCCTGAGAGGTCCTGGCTGCTACAGTGGAGGTGTTGGCCTGTTCTTCAAAAGCAGAACGAGCCTCAACATGTAGCTAATCCAAATACAGGCCCGCCGCGCTCCACAGTTGGCCTAGATGGTATTCAGATCCCAAAAACCATAACCGCCCACAGTGAGACAGGAAAAGTAAGACGGAAAAAAAATAGAAAAAGAAAAATGCAGTCTAGAAAAAAAGTAGCGCATACAAGGAGGACAGGGCGATGAAACACAATGTTCACCCACTCACTGCAGCTGTTAGCTGTGATGTCAGGGGGTTTGGGAAGAAATCGAAGGCAAGAACGCTGTGATTGAGGGCAGCAGTGATTGATCCCCAAACAATCTGTGTGCAGTCAATTTGTCCCCTCCATACGACCAACGTTCCCCATGCCCATGCATCCTCTAACCACTGAAGTTTGGAGCCCGCCACACTACAGTCTACCTCCTGATATTTAAATGAATAAGCCACATGCAAAAAAGTTTTTGTGTGCCTGTTTAGAGAGCTGCTGCCATCACAACTCGACACACCACACATCCACGACGCAGGCTCAAATGTTATGCAATTGCTTTCAAAGCTGGACTGGTGCTTGTCTGCCAGTTTCAAGCCTATTCTCTGGTCTGAACTGTGCAAGTGAACGCATCAGATTTTTCTTGACAGAGGATGTGGTCGGTTGTCAGTTGGATGAACGCAGATGTCACCTCGCAAATGACTAACTCCGCCGCTCGCAGCCAGATTGTCTTTCTGATAAATAAGTGGTGTTGTTCCACCCCCGCCCATGCGGTCCAGCCCTGCTCCCATACCGAGCATCTCCGTGCCCCGTGGCCGGGCCGGAGTCCCACACTGCCGCCATGGCGACACGTTCCGGGCGGTCTCAGCCCACTTGCAGAGGACGAGGGGAGCATATTTTGACAGACGTGAAGCTGCAGTTTCCACTGTAGCCCCCCCCCTCCCCTCCTCGATGTGTAACTATCTGTTATCTCCCCCTTTTCCACGGCTGGCCCCACATCAAGTTTGGCAGGTAACTAAATCCGTCACAACACCCCAGTTTCCAGTTTGGAAAAAAAAGAAGCGACCCGAAGTACAAAAAAAAAGTTGTAAATGACAAAAAGCCGAGTTGTGAGTGTGAAAAGGCGGCGGGAGGGAGCGGTAACCAGCCCTGGCCGCCAGCATTAGGCTGTTCGGACCGCAAAGAGATTTAACAGCCAACGCGGCGTCGTTACATTTTGTTCTCCCACAGATGAAAGACGGAGTGGAAGAAAGAGGCGCGTTTGTTGTGGTCTCGCAGGAGTAATTTGCATCCCCCCAAAAAAAAACGCTAAAGTCCCAAACTACCATCAGAACAACCGAAAAAGTGGAAGAACGGCGGTCTCACCTCGTTCGGAGAAGTCGACGCAGGCACTTTTTCACCGCAACCCGGCTGAAGTTACTCTTTTTTTCTTCCTCTCCTTTTTTCGCCCTGTGATTCCGTCGATTGAGGAAGTGTGGCAGGCTGCGCGCGTGAGTGTGTGCGCGCGTGTGTGTGTGAGAGAGAGAGGCTCCCTCCGCTCGCTGTGACGTTTACCTGCCGTGCACGGACGCGCGGGCTCGCGGGGGGATGGCAGCGCAGGCCACCGGCTGACCTGAATACCGCCAAGGGCTCAGCTCATCTCCCTCCTGTACTGGACTCCAACCACATGCAACTGCCTCATTTACTAGTGTCATTTCACCATCTGGGGGAGAGGAGGGGGCGGTAGTTTCAAACTGCAGACCTGTTGATTACCTGGGCTAAAAACACTTTACTTTACTATGACCCTCATAAACGTCTGCGTTGCTGCTGAATGAGCTCCATTAACCCCACATCTTTGAATGTATTGACTAACTTGTTTTTGGGGTTTTTTTTTTTTCCACTGCACTTGAAGTGTTTGTGTGACAGGGGGTGGAGTCACGTGGCCCTGACTGTAGGCTGCTGCATGAAGGTTTTGTGGTGGTGAGGAGGTGGCACATCTTTGCTCCTGCAGCCAAAGTTTTTTGCTATCTTATTACTAAGGCAGCACATTCTGTCAGAAATTATCCATATTCTTCATTGGTCTCCAGCCTGAATCCACCCCCTCACTCTGTCTTACACGCACACACGTACACAAATGGAATTGTGTGTAGAAATGAGCAAGAGAAAAAGCTGGTTTATGCCAAGTGAGCTATTTCAGTGTGATTATACAAAATAAATACTGGCTCAGATGAAAGGCCGACAAAAAAAAAACGAAGAATTCATCAAGGATGAGTCATAATCTGCGTAATGCACAGTTTATTGAGAGCTGCTTTTGTTGCTCTGTGTAGATATGCGAGTGAAGGTGGCAGGAAAAGGCTGACAGGCGGCAGGTGTGCTGGTATTCCCCTCGCAGATCTGACGACTCACATAATAGGCACATTCTGTCTCAGGGCAGATGCAGGAAGTCTACGGTGCAAAGTAGGTGTGACTTTTCTGACAGACACACCTTCAAAAGCTCAAGAAACCTCTTCTTGCCTTCTTGCCTTCTGCTCACACCCACACACAGGATCACTGTCTTGATCCACTGTGGGATTCACAGGCTGATCTACACTGAAACTCCCTGTGAAATGAGGTGATACATTTATTACCATGGGCTTCGGATCAATTTGTATGGTTTGGGAGGAGTTTGCTTTCATGTATCAATATTATAAATGGATTTTGTTTTTTGTTATTTAAGATTTTACGGAAGAAAGGGTTACGGAAGAAAGATAGAAATATTGTTTTTTTATAGCACTGTGTCAATGCATGCAGGCTCTTTAATTCATGGGGAAAGTATATGCCCTGTGTAGATAAAATGCTATTTCGATGGTGAAATTATAGTCTGCCGTTCAATTAATGAGACAGCAATCAGGTGTGAGTGGGTGTCTTGTTTTATTTTAAGAATAGCCTCTTGGAGCAATACATGTCTGTACAACTCCATCATGGCGTAATCAAGAGTCATTTTTTAATTGTTTTTTTGTTTTGTTTGCTTGTTTAGTCTTAGTTTTTTGGGAATGGCGCGCATCAGACTAAAATAAAAGGTTTAAAAAATGTCTCTGGACACTACTCACCCTAAATCAGGCCCCTCAGGCAATGGTATACATGACCAAGCTGCAGGAAGAAAAAAACACCACTTACAAAAAGAGCATCACTGCTTGCCTGTTGTTTGCCAGAAATCATGTGCACAAGGCAGATGGCTGTAAGAGAAATCTTTTGTGTAGGACATGACCGAAATAGATCCGTTTCTTTTTTCATGTAAATATCAGATGCATTACGTTCGAAAGAAGAAAAATACTGTGCTCAAGCATGAAAATGTTGGCCCGTGTCTGAGCCATGCTGGTGATAGCACCATGGCTTTGGCCTTGTTCTGCATCTTTGCCACTGACATAGATGTGGGTTTTGACGGCAAAACCGAAACGCAGAGAGCACAAGTTTCCCTACATTTTCTACTCACTGACATGAAACTTATGTATTTTCTCATAAATACTTTAAAAACTATTTTCGATTGTCTCATAAGTCTTAGATAACTGGATGAATTGCTCCTCTATGAAATGTATAGAAAAACTGAATGTGAAAGACAAGTTGAGGAACTTTAACACTTGAACGTCTTTATCTGATGCAGTGACTTCCTGTGTCTGCATGTTTTTTGATAACTGTTTCCAGCCAAAAAAAACAGTTTTTGCATAACCGCAAGAAAGTCATCAGAGAGCTGAAAAAGTTTTTCGAGGACATCGTTTACAAGTGTGAACCTAGTTTTGCACTGCATACACTGGGGCAAGCTAGTGAAAGGGCATTAGAGAGCAATATCAATCTTCTGCTTTAACTGTCCTGAAGTGTTTAGCATTTTACTTGTTTAAAAGATTTCCTTAAAAAGGCCTGAGATGACTGTGTTTCAGATGGATTTACTTCACTCCGTGACAGTTACTGCGAAGAAATGTTTTCCCCCATCCTTATACAGGCAGCTGTTGACCAAATACTCGCAAGAGCGTGGAAAGCACAATGCAGACTCCCTGTTTAGGCATCAGGGAGAATAAATGTTCCGTCTGAAGTGCAGAGTGTGCTGAAGGCGCGTGTTCTTCCCAGTTTGTCCTGTTGAGAGAGAGTGGGCTATTTAAAGCTTCAGGGGAGGTGGAAAAGGTGTAACATTGACTTGACAGTGTGGGCTGCAAAGAGTTGGCAAAGTGGGACAGAAGTGTGTGTCCCTCGATTCTTGCAGTGTTTCTGCTACTTTTTTCTCCCTCTTTTCATCTCTAAAGGATGCAGGGAAACTCAACACAAAGGGGAAACCAGAAATGTCAAACCAATGTCAAATGAACGTGGCCAGTTTTAAAGACATTTTGATGAAATATTCAGCTATTGCATAATGACCTTGGATCATTCCTCCTGGGGATGTGCTGCCTACACAGCGAGGGAAAGATGAGAGGCCATGTTGTTGTACACTCCAACATTGTTTTGACTTGTCAGGCTAGCACTGACAAGTCCAGTGTGTGTCAGTCTGAGTTTGTCATTAAATAAACTCCAGTTAAAGTCAACCCCGTTGCAATAGCATGGTGGGCAAAACACCACAGAACAGGAACTTTTTAGCAGCAGTAGTTAATGATTCCAGGGCTGTGCATGTAACAGGGCTGACTACATTTGACCTTATTGAGTAGGCTGTGTGAACAATCAATTATTTGCTTCTCTCTGCATTGCTTCTGCCTGCAGTCATGTAAAAGAAAGACCGGATTATGACTGCTCGTCATGCAGTGTAAAGGAAAGCTTATCACTTTGAACACATAGAAACCTCTCCTGATTTGTTTTCATAGTTAATTAGCACATCAGGAGGTTGAACAGGTAAATGGGACTAAAGGCCCTTGTCCGGTATCCAACATTGTGATCAACTAGCACAACTAAGAATAAATCTTATTTGAATAAAAAATGCAAACTGACACTTATTTTCTGGATATGTAAGTTGCATTTGTAATTTGCGCTCAACCAATTAACCCGAAGCTATTCCAATCATTCAAGAAGAGGTTGTTGGTTGTTGAAGTGGGAAAAGATGTACATGATATAAACTGTCATTTATGAGGAATTTGCTTATTGTATTATAACAAATGATGATGCGGATAAAAAAAGAGGACACAACTGATGAAAGCAAAAGAGGAGGATAAAAGCAGAACTGGGGCTAAAGGGGGAGAGGAAAGTGATTAATTGTCTGTCCTTTATATAGGACGACATGTCTGCAAGTTTTCAGCAGTCCCAGAAAGCAAACTTTGTGCCTGATATTATTCTGGGTCAGGCAGCCTCGGGGGGAGATGAGAAGCAGAGCAGGCCTGGCCTTTCATTGGCCAAACAGCACATCGGTCTGCGTAGCGCTCAGTCCCTCTGGTGTGCTCGCCAACAGCTCAGAGTGTGATCTGAAACAATTAGCAGCTTGATATTTCACCAAAGCAGGTCATACACAAATTGTGTGTCAGCACAGACATTAAATATAGCAGGTCCAATGAGCAGTGCATAAGGAGTTTTGTCAGATGTGCATTGCTCAATCAGCAAGGACACAAAGTCAGGAAGTGGTCAACAGCTATCTGCGCTTTCAAATTTAGACCGCTTGCCATCTATAGGACATGAGGGGAATGAAGAGAAAAGACGTGCAGCCCCATTTACTCACTTGAAAATAAAATGATTAGCCATAAACTTCAGAAATAATCATATAAATACAAGGTTCAATACACTGATTATGTAGCTGTGCGTTGAGTGCACTCAGTCATGTTTTGATTTCATGGGGTTTGCAGACCATGTCATTGCCTCTGTGCACTGATGGATGAGCCGGCATCACACTGATATGAATTTACATTGCACTTCAAGGATTTAAAATCCTAAAGTCTCTTTTTAAAGTAAGGAGAGTGCAACAGCGGAAACTTTTGGCCTTCATACCAAAGTACTCTTATTAATTTTTTGTTCATGCTTTTTAATGTCATTCTCACAAAGATGAACACCTCAAGTAATAATTAACATGATAAAATAACAGACTCTTTTAATATTTTTAAATTATACTGTGATTAAGTGTGTGCTTTAGAGAAATAATAGTTATTGTCAACATTTCCAGTGAAAAATTCACATTGAAATTAAAGCAAATTTAATGTAAGGATGCGGCCATTCCACATCTGGACATTTTTGACTGAAATAATGTGATGCTGCTTTTATGAGAGGCCCCTTGAGCCATAATTCAACCTCGACCTCACATATGATGTATACAGACAATATCACACTCTCCTCTCACACACACACTAAACTTACTACAGATATTCTTCTAGGATACATTTAAACAGCCCATGATTTCAGAGATACCCAAACTGTTTTGCAGGTTGAAAACAACTCATACTGCTGTTGAAACATTTAGTCATTTATAAGATAAAAAATAAACAAAAATGAAATTATTTCTAGGTTACAGTTGGGGGTTCTTCTCTCTCACTAAACAACGCCCATTGCACCATCTAGTGCCTGCAGACTGACACATCCCATGGCTGTTCAAATGGACACGACCACCAGAGAGCAGCATTTGTTCTGATACTTCTTTTTTCCCACTGGTGTTTTTTTCCATCTCAAAATGACATCAGTCAGTGAAGAAACTGAATGAAGCGGTGTTCTCATCAGCCCTGTATTTTCCCCTGTCATATATTTGTTTCCCCTCTAAGATAATTAATTTTGTATTCACAAAATAAACATTCAAATGAAGTTCTGAATATAAGGAGTGGGATTACTTATCCTGAATCAAAACAAGCCTGTAATGGCAACAAAGACTTCAGTGGCATGAACTCTTTGCCTGTGTTGAGCCACTTAGGAGAACCAACCAATGGACAGTAGTCTGATGCAGACACAAGCTCAGCTGCTGGTGAAGAGGATGAGTCCATGACAGCCAAATCTTGTGCTGTTTTTTGTCAAATCCCAATCTATGCTTTGCAGAAAGTAGATTGAATTGAAATCCTTCCCTTCTTTTATAGAGAATATAGTCGTTTCTATTGGTTGTCTGGATGGATTCCGGCCCATCTTCTTCCTCCATGTTGGTAGGGCCTTCCTCACTTTGACGTCTGGCTGAGAGGAGGAGCAGGAGGGCTGCCTCAGCAGCGTGAATCTTTGGCAGCTGCAGAAACTGCTCAGTGCTGCAGGAGGTCAGGATTCACACCAGATGTTTGAGGGGGGTTAGAGTTAAGGCTGGTTGGGGTCACCTCAGGTAAACGTGCTGATAATCTCGCCTACTTTTGCAACACTCTGCAGCATGTCATTTAATTACAGTTAGAAATATGTTTCTCAGGATTTGGGAGTGCTCACCAAGAAGCCAGAGGGAGGATGACAGTGGAGAGAGTGAGAGATGCTGGTACAGCATCCTAAATATGTTCAGAGCCTGTCTGACACACCTCAGGAAGGACGGCAGGAAGGAGTAGGCAATGCACTGACAGAGAGCCAGGCCTCCACTGGGACATCTGACAGACCAGTGACAACCAGCTCAGGAAAGGGAGGAGGAGAGAGAAACCCAGAGAGATATCTTCACCAAATACTCCACCGATTAAACAAGAGCAGGGCAGAAAAAACCTAAAGGAGATGGAACGCATAACCTGTCAAATTAAACTGGTTCTTGCTTGTACACTGACACAGGATGGTGACTTGTTTCTGACACATTTCCACTAGTTATTCAGTACAAACCATTAACTAGTTCAAGAAATAATTTAGCGTGATAACCTCTAAGACCCTGAATGTCGTAACACTTCCTTAGCAGTGATGCAGTTTAAATTAATCATGTGGAAAAGTTACTGTTAGACCTGTTTATTGTTACAGAAATTAGACTGAGGGGTCCTCAACAGTGCTACCACTTTCTGTTCCAAAAAAAAAGGTATATGTATGAGAGCATGATGGTGTGCGTGTGTGAGACCAGGTTTGAATAACAGCTCAAGGGGGCCTCCCATAGTTTATTTTATCTTCCGTTTTAACCAAAGCGAAATAAGAATAGAAAGCACATTTTTTGCTAAATAGGTTAACATATTCAAGACATCCAAAATGTACAAAAACTGAATATCTTTCTTTTACAAAGTGTGATCCATGATGTTTTCAGTAATTTAAAGGAATGCAGCTGAATTAATAACAGCTCTTGTATATCTCCTGTTCCACAGTGGCAGGTAACTGGGCCAACGACTGCCGTGGCTTTCAGCAGAGCACCTGCTGCGTTGGCAGGCAGGGGACACTGGAAGTCTACAAAGTAGGTGATCGTGTCCTCTCTTATGGAACACAATGTCTTCTTCTCTTCAGCTCGGCTGAGCAAATGGTAACATGTTGACATAATAAACAAGTATTTGTTCGATATAGTTCCGTTTTGGTTTCACAGTCAGCCAAATGTCTTGACTGGCGTTTGAAGGAAAAAGGCAGTGGAGAGGTCGATTCTATAAATTTGTGGCTTCCTCCATGGCGTTCACCCACCTGTACATAGAAAAAAATCATATTAGGGAAACAACATCATGAGGTATAGTTCGATAAAATTATCCTTTTCAACTGCTTCTCTGGAGGGGTTGATACATTATGTAGCCTAATTATATGAGCTATTTTTAGAGCTCTATCATGTCTTTGAAAGTTGTTTGAAACATGCAACTTTTGAAGACCTATAAAAAAAACAGGTGGTCATTCTTCCATTTTATCTGCAAGCGACTTGATGTGATGTTTGGCTGTTTACTGTTCATTTTGAGCATATAATAAGAACTTCTAAGTATTCTATGTCTTTCCAGCAGAAGACAGTGATCAGAATACTCTCAGTTTGGAGAGTCAGAAACTTTTCCCTCTGACAAGCTATTCCAAAAAGCAATTCAGAAATGGCCACCAGAAAATAACCTTTTTTTTTAATTAATTAATTTTGTTTTGTTTCAAAGCTATTCCAGTTAATACCCTAAGTCATCTGAGACACAGATTGTGATGCAAGATTTGAAATGGTAAAAAATGTTTTCTTCTGGTTGATTCTGAGCTTTATCACTTCTATCAGGAAAGCATCTGATCAAAAAGTAAGAGCTATCCCTTTACATGAGCAAAAAAACATGTAACCATGACAAAGATCTTCCCATGTTTGTTGCATCAGTAGCTGACAGTCAAGCATCCTTCTCACCTTTGAGCTGTGAAGTTATCCTCAGCCTTAAAAGTGTAATATAAAGTGTTTTTGTGGTAAAGCTGAAAGACATTGGCCTCCTCCTGTCCCCATTGCTTATCAGGTAGCTTCACTGTGAAACCCAAAAGCGGTAAACTCTCTGCCGCTACTTTCTCCTGCACACAGAAAATTTGTCTTTCAAACAACTGATTATGACATATGGATGAATGACAACACACAACACCTTTAAGTATTTTACTTGACTAATGACTACAAGGCCTTAGCCAAGTCCTTTAGCTGTAGGTGGTGTTGAAAATTGATAATGTGCTCTTCAGGTTGAAGGGGAGGATAAGTTTCCCCTCACCTCTTGGGCTCTGTAGGTGTAAAGCACCTTGTCTTTTAGAAGGAACCATAGTCTCTTCCAGTTCCTTTTGCTCTTCTTGCTTCTCTGTAGACTGCCACTGATGGAGCCTTCCTCTGACACAGTCATCTGCACATCAATTGCATCTTTACTCAAAAATACACAGCAGAGCAGAAACATTTTGCAAAGGTTCTTTCTTATGAATGTACCTGGTTGAAGGTGACCGTGCCTTTCCGATGTCTCCAGATGCTGGGAGGATGAATGTTTTGGAACACAGAAGAGAGTGGACGACTGGAACGATTCATTCGAGGGCTGTCCTTGCCTGTAAGAGCAGACACATCTCCTCCTGCAAAGACAAGCAGCTTCCTTTCACTAAAAGTGGAAAATAGATAAGCAGCGTATGACCTATAGTACAGTGTTTGCCAATTATTTTATCCCAGTGTAGATTTTGTAACAGGAACTTCTCATTTCCCATCACAGATAAGCAGAAAAGAAAAATTCTCTCAGGTTACATTTATTGGAATGGGCTGAATCTGATTGGGCATCTTTAACATGAGTTCAAGGCTGATGTTCAACAGCAGAGCGCACTGATTGTAAGGGAGCCAAAGCTATTTTTATGTAGCTATATGATTTATAAATCTTGTGCTGGACTACACCATCTCAAAAAGCAACTCACAACGTCACACTTAAGCACTCATGGTAGAGCAAACTTTCTCGTTTGTACTAATCAGATAACAAACCTCAAACTGGGTAAGGGGAGCTATACACTAAATTGTTGGAACCAGAATTCTCTCACCCTTCTTTAGCTCGTTGTAACAGTGGTCACACACTTTGGCCATGCGGTCTTTCATATATTTCAGTGGATATTTGTTCCTGGAGCAGCTTCGACAAACAATCTGTGTCAAACAAAAAAGCGAAAGAGGGATTATCTTTGGCCGAGTCAATAAATTATGAAAAGGCACAATTTATTGTTTCCGTTAATAATTGGCAGATATTTTAGGGGCTCAAACTTATAATATAAAAGTGCTTGGTTTATTTGTCTGTGACTTACTCTTCCACAGCCATGGCAATGGTGTCTGCGAAGAGTGAGGCTGAAATCTGCCGTGCAGTTCATGCACATCATCACTTGTGAGACAGGAACCATAGTGGGAGCTTTCTCTCCCAGAGACAGCCTCAGACGATCTCTGACCTGGGAGTTAAGCATACATACAGGGCTGTATTAAACAGAGAAGCCTGATAGGTATAAGTCGTAGCATTATTCTCTCTCTGGTCTGTGTAGAGAGGCATCACTGAAAAAAAATCATACCAGGTAATGAACCATTACTGGGTTTTATGACGGGGTTTGCTTACCTCTCCTGTGCAGCTATTGACAGGTACCGAGCCTCTTGTGTGTTCATTCACAGTGCGGTTAAGAGTGTAAAACCAGTCTTCTCTTTCAAGGAAGGAACTGTAGAAAGTGCATACAAATATTTACTAATTCCTGAACATTAATCTAAATTTTTGCTGCAAAAACTTCAAAGGGTTTAGTTTTTAGAGTGGAAGTGGTTGTCCTTTTCATCCCCCCTTTTTATGCATTTATCTAAGAAGTACAGCATGACTCACCTGGCAGTCAACACGATGGAGATGTCAGTTCCCTCGATTTTCAGTGCATTGTGAGCATTGTCAATGATGGGTTTACTGACCTGGGTAATCAATCAGACACCAGACATTAGAGGTTAGACAGACATGAAGAGAAATAAAGGGCTAACTAAACGTCTGACATGAACCTATCATCTAGCATATAATAATGCTAAATGACAGGCTCTTGTCAGACATTGTTTTTTGGTTGTTTTTTACACACTGCAAAATGATCACATCATTGGTTGATTGGATAAAAGACTCTGACCTTCAACCCAGTGAGTGGTAAAGTGTTCTTCAGTCTGTATTTCCCATCCTGTTGAGGGTAGGTGTAAAGCAGCACATCGTTCATCTGTCAAAAGACAATCACAATTAGTCTGTAGATCTGTTTGAAAGCAAGCTGAGCTTTTTTCCCCATTTTTGTCAGTAAAGTGAAGGGGAAAAAGGCTACCACATCTCTCCATTAGGTGTCACTACAGACTGATACAAAACTTGCTGAAATCAAGCTGAACTTTTACCCCCATATTGTTTCCCAGTACATCATTCCTTTCACTGCCCTTGTTTTGTTTTTGGTTAATTCTCTGGTCTTTTACAAACGACTATCAAAGCCTTACTTTATCTCGTTCTCTTCCTGGTGGTCTTCTGGTGGATACAGTGGTGGTACCATAGTAATGCAGCAATTATAATAAAAAAGATTTATGAGTTTTCACAGAGCCTGAGCCCACACCACAAATTTAAAAAACACCACAGGAGGGAAAAGTAATGTGCCTTGATAATGGAGTTAATTTTCAACCCTTTGTGTACTGCATGTTTGTGGATCTTTCAGGAAATTAATTATGCGGTAGTGACCCAGCAGTGACAAGTGGTGAAGAGTGACCTCAATTATGTTACTTGGCCCATACTTATAGCTTAATCAATTAAATCCCTCTGCCCTGCCTCTCCTGTGTCCTAACCCTCACATTTGAGATAGTTTGTGCTCAAGAATCTAAACGTAAATTTCCATCCAGCATGATAAGAGTTCTACTTGGATCTTTTGGGTTGAAGGGAGCTGACCTTCCATGTGCTGTCAGTACAGAACTGGCTCAGGAAGCTAACATTCAGAAACATCCTGCCAGGAAGCCATGCTCTTAATAGCCATGTCTGGACATGGAAATAGATTAGGGAGAAAATGCCCAATTCTACATAGTCAAATATTTAATGAATAAGCGAAAATATAATGCAAGCCATATCAATCTTGTTTTTTAAAAATCATCAAATAAAAAAGTGGCACATGCTGGTGTACCAACAGGACGCAAACAGGAAGCAGCATTTACCAAAAACAGATGGCGGGGCTGGCGACTCTTCCTGCTGACCTTCATCAGAGTGCCCTCCTTCACAAAAACCTGGGAAAAAAAGAAAACACATTTAAGTTAAAGTGAGCATTTCACAGTTCCTCTGATCCTGACACATGCATGGTATCTGCAGTCATCAGTGTTATTTTAGACCAAGCCAACTGGGGATTACCAGCTGACTAATTGTGTAAAGGGCAGCAAGGGGTGGTGGAGGGGCAGACAGGGTGGGTTGGCAAGCCTCAAGCAGAAACAATGCTGTTATCAGAGTCATACCCTGTCAGGATGAAGCAGGTCCCGCTGGCCACGTACACTGTAAGCTATGTTGATCAGACGCAACAGGTTCTCCTGAGAAACACAGACAAAAGAACAGAAAGCAAAAAGATAAAGAGAAGCCAAAATAAGATGGAAAAGATGAAGGAATGTGGACAACATTTTTTTTCTTATCTCCTGCCAGGCATACAATTTTTATCAAGTGAATCAGGCAGACAAACCACATATTCTTCGCTTGAAATCAAGCTATAAATGTCGCTGGTTTGAAATTTGACTCTTCATTTGAATCTACTGAACACATAGGAATTTATATATATACAAAAATCCATGAGTGATAAATGAGAACATGGAAACACAGTCAATGTTAAAAAAACTATATGCATACATCAGTCCATATTTACAGTATGCATCAAAATGTTACTGCTTACATTTACCACCCTTTTCAAACAAAGAGTTTCATTATGTTGTTTAAAGTCTTTTTCAGAGTCAGCAGTGTGAGTTGAAGTAACTTGTCATGGCTATGACTGAATACCTTTCCCTTGCCTTACATGGTCACAGCCCAGTTATCTCTTTCACGCACCAGTCAGATTTCAGGTGTGGTTGGGTAACTTCAGGATTAAATGTTGTTTTTTTCACACATTAGTGAAATCATTATAGCATTCAAAGTAACATATGAAACATTTGAAGGCAAAGTCATAGTATATGGATAGCGTTTCCAACTGACCACACAAATATGGCCACAGTCCCTTTGTGTAGATAATGTGTGGTATAAAGAGTAACATTCCATTTCATGACATATTGTAATCTTAGTGAGGTGCTTCTGAGCTTTGATGATGGGCCAGTGAAACTGATTGGCTTGGATTCTTGACTACTTTCTTACTTCTTTAATTTCTTTAAAAAATATCAGCTGTATTTTCCTATAACATATTTTCAAAATATTTCTAAAATCATGTTTGTGGTTGTTCTTCGGGTACCGCCACATTACTTTGAACACACTGATGACCACTGTCATGACATCCCAGTGGCAAATGAAAACAGTTGTTAAATAAAGATGCTTTCAGTATGTATAAATTGCTTCATGGTGCAGGCCTCACTAAGACTCTATGTCAGACAGAGAATGGAAAAAATCCTACTTTTAACCTGGCATTAGATAAAAAGCTTTCAATTTGTGCCAAACCTCTAGGCAATACTAGATGAGAGGACAGGGATCACCAAAGTCATGTGGTTACATGATAAAACATGAAAGTCCAATGAATAAAGTCAGAGGTCAATCCATTTAATAGTTTGGGGTGGACGGATAAATAACTGTTCAACAGACCTTCAATGAAACATTTTTAAGCTTAATGATTCTCTGAAAGATTACCATGGGAGGAATGATTTTAAAAAAGCAAGGTATATGATAAAACAGTATGATAAAACGCAGAACCATTTTCAGAAATGTATTCTACATTTATAATCATATCTTGCAGTGAAATGTCTTGTTTGTTTTTTTTACCAACTTAATGGTTACATGAATCTGTACGAATAAAAAATCAGATGAATAAAAATGGGAACTTTTAAGAATTAGATTGAACTCTTACCCCATTTTTCAAACTGTCGTTGACTTGATCTCCAATGTCAGACACGATCACTACGGCAGCTGCAAAAGATAGAGAGGGATGATCACAAAAGACTCTTCAAGATATTACCAAATGACCACAGGCACAACAAATATACACAGGTGACGGGACACTTTGTTATTATGTGCTTCCACGTATGAAGTAAATTAAGTCATGAGCCTGGAAGTGTCGACATGTCTGGACTGGAGTGGGTCCCTTATCGGAGATCCAGCATGAGATACCGTAGCTGCAACCTGCCCTCTCATGAATAAGACACTGCAGCATTCAGACAGCAAAGCTGCAATGACTGCCTGGTGGCTTTCCAGCACAAACAAAGAAATCTAAATTGGCTCTCTCATGGCCATTTCTTCATGCCAACCGAGCACAAAAAAGCTTCCCAGCGTACACAAAGCCACACACAGGCTTATAAAGCACTCCAGAGAGATGTCGGACTGAGCTGCCGCTGTACTTTCTGTTTGTTCTCGTTACATGTTTACTGTACCTTGGGTATCTTCATATTCCCTGGAATCAGGGGAGAGGTTGTTCAGGTAATCTGAGAGGGGAGTAGAAGAAAATCAATGCTTCCAGACAGTAATGCATGGAACCATTCTAAGCCGTCATTTTGTTCAGGAAGAACACTCTCTTCTGATTTAATTTGATTTAATCTTTCCTTTTACTCACCAGTGAGGAGCATGCGATACTGAGCCACACGGACAATAACCTGCAGGAGCTGATGTTTCAAAGATACTGTCTCCCCAGCTGGACTGTGCTCCTGATAAAAAAATCAAACAGAGATGGATTAGACATTTTCTGTTCATTATTGCAGCCAGACCTGTCCTTTGCCGCACTGTAAAGCGAAATAGACAACAAAGGAGGCATGAAATGTTAAGAAGCTGAAATCATAAATCAAATAAGACTAGGAAAACATTTTACCTTGAGAGCAAAAGGAACCTCAATTTCAGGGGAAACAACTGGATGTGACTGATTGTAGAATTTACATCTTTACAAAAAAATGTTTTCTCTTTACATTCGATTCTACATTTTGTCATTGTGTTACTTTGATTATTCAGTTAAAGTTTGTTTTGTTTTTTGCCCTGAGGATGTCTATTGAGTTTTTGTCTATAAAGTAAACTTTAGAAAAAAGTGAGCAGCATCCACGTTAAATGGCGGGCAAAAATTCTCAACTGCATTAATAAAAAATTAGCTTAGGGAAATATGTGGACTTTTTAAATGCTGGAGCACTTTATTCTGACGAAGAAAACTGCCACACTTTGCAAACACTTCCTGCCAATTTCTTTCCTTTGTGGTCAATAAAGTGCAGAGGGAAATTTATTCAGGGTAACTGGACATTCGTCTAGAATTTGGCTGTATTATCTCAGAAGGCTATAATAGTCAGTGCCACCAACCCCAGAGGGGAGAAACAACATTTCCAAAATCGATCTCTACTTGTGTCTGAAGTTAACAGTTGGCTGGCTAATATTTGATTAAACTGAGGAAGATGAACAGATGTAACAATGTTCATTGTGTTGTGCTTTATGTTTTATGATGATCAACGTAATATCTTATTTTGCAACATTGCTTGTTGACTGCTTTGAAACATTGATTAAGTTTAGATTACTTTTAATCAACTGAATTACTTGAAAAGACAGAGATTTATACATTATATGTTTTGAGTTTTTGAAAAAACAAACACAGGGTTTTAGTATAGTATAAAGGGGGTTAGTATAGTGCTGGGTGTCCCTGTGTGTCAAAAGGGAGGCTGGGGTTTGATTTCCATGACGTGTGTGTACACATGTGTGTATTTTTACTTTATAAGTCGCTTTGGATAAAAGCGTCTGCTAAATGCATGAACACAAACAGTGAGGTCTGACCTCAAATTTCTGGACAATGGTCGCGAATGCAGGCGAAGTTCGGCAGCTGTCCTCCAGTAAACTAATGCTGCGGTCGTAGTGGCCAATGTAAGTCGTGAAGACCAAGAACTCTGCTTTCCTGGACAGGAATATGTCTGCAATCTTTTGGCTGTCCTCCCTGAACAGAAGAAAAAACGTGTCAGCCTCAGTTAGCTGGTTTATCACTGAGAGGCATTATGGAGAAGCAAGCAGGATTGGGGAAGACAAAATCTTTGTTTGAGAATCAAATGTTTAATAAGTGCATGTCAGTATTTTCTGCTTAACGTCACTCTATAATGTTTATATCTCACCAGTGTCGGACTCGATTCTCCAGCTCAGTGAGGATTTTGCGGTGCAGCTTGTAAATATCGGGCAGCTCATTGAGAATCTCTCGAAGTCTCTCATCATCCAGCACAAGCTGTCCTTCATCCCCGACTGCTGACCCCACTGCTTCTCGAAAGTCCTGAAATGATTCATTTTATGTTATATAGTTTATGTTCAGATCTTACTTCCTACTTTTACAGTTTCACTACTGTCTGTAGTTTTTCCTCTGTTTTCCATCTCTCCCTCCACTAAAGTCCAACTGATAATATCAAACTGCAGGGAATACATGAGATATTGTACCAAATCATATAATCATGTCCTCCAGCACTGGAGCTTCATGATTTAATCGCCACACCAAAGAAAATTCGAGGAAGCAAAAATGACAGAGAAGGATCCTAAGTGCCTCTGAGCAAGACACATAGGTGAGCTGTGGCTAGATTAAACCAGCTTTTGGTGGATATAAAATTGTTTGAAATTATCTTTATGGTCACTCAAGTCAAACAAATAAAACCGAGGAATCTGAGCATTTTAAACTTTAAATTGAGAAAAACTTTAATTTAGAAAAAACACGAACCTCCTGGATGTCTGAAAAGTCAGATGGGCAAGACACACAGCATGTATAAAAGTAAATTTATCTCTGGTAAAAGTTTTGATTTCCTAACATTTTATGACACATTTGCACACTTTTGGTCATTTGGACCAGGATATAACATATAATTACAATCAAATATGACATTTGGGCTAGAAATCTTCTGATCCCATTAGATATCAATAAGCATGACTGAGTGAACTGACTGTATTCTCTCTGAAATGGTTTTGGTTTGCCCAAATGTAGGTAATATGAGGCAAATTAGATGAAAATCATTTCACAGCCTCACACACACATTGACAAATAATAATTACTGATACTTTTAAATGCTCCTCTCTTCAATTTTGAATATCACAAAAGGTTACCACAGTTCCTCATGCTAAACAAGCTTTGGCCAGGGCAAGCTCTTATAAACCGTTCACTGCCACCCATATTTATCATCTGTTTATATTCAGGACATATATATTTGAGTTGTTTTGGGTGATTTCCCTTACTTCCTGGAGCAACTTCAGGGTTTTCACATGCCTGTGGGCAGAAAAAGAAAATGAGCAATTAATTAAACTGAGGATGGAAACATCGTTGTAAAGATATGTTTGACATTAAATGTTATGAATGCATACTTACAGTCTCTCCGTATCTGCAAGCTCTTTCACAATGTAAAAGGCTCTGGATCTACCATCAGCCTGTGAGAAAATACCACATTATTTAGTCCTAGCTGGCCAACATTTGAAAAGCCACTGGCACGGGTTTAAAAAGACATTAGTGTCTCTCGTGTACCCACGATCTGAAAGCAGCAGTTAGTGTTAATGATGAGAGTGGCCTTGCAATAGCCCATTAACCTCTGCTAAACTGCCTTTAAATTCTGTTTCGGCTTGGGGGGAAATCTTGTAATCATCTGAACTGAGCTCATTATGCATTTTCTTGCTCTTTTAATGTTTTCATTTTCAGCAGTCAAA